AATATTACAACCTTTTTAGCATGCTAGTACAAGCCGGAGTTCCTTCACAGTACACATATGAATTCCGATTCAATTTGACACGGTTGGTGTTATTACAGTCACTGTTATTTCTCTCTTATTGATTGGTGTATAAATCGGCGGCGCGAAGCGCCGAGAAAATTTGCAAAAGAATGTGTCGAAACACAGCTCCAAAACACAAATTTTACCACCCTTTTAGCATTGCAGTACAAGCCGGAGTTCCTTTACAGCACACATATGAATTCTGATTCAATTTGACACGGTTGGTTTATGTAATTACAGTCAAGATTTCGTATTGACCTGTACGTATGTACATAAATCGGCGGCGCGAAGCGCCGCGAAAAATTTGCAAAAACATTTGTCAAAACACAGAGGGGGCCTCCTCTCTACAGAGGACCACCGATCTCTACTGCGGGCCTCCTCTTTTCACAGGGCCTCTTAACTACAGAAGCTACAGGGCCTCCTCTCTACAGAGGGCTTCCTCTCTACTGAGGGTCTCTCCCTTTAAGAGGGCCTCCTTTACAGAGGGCCTCCTCTCTTCAAAGAGCCAGAGGACCTCATCTCTGCAAAGGGCCTCCTCTCTTCAGAGGGCCTCTTCTCTACAGAGGGCCTCCTTTCTTCAGAGGGCCTCTTCTCTACAGCGGGTCTCCACTCTTCAGAGGGCCTTCTGCATTCAGGCGGTCTCCTTTCCACAGAGGGCCTCCTCTCTACACAGGGCCTCCTCTCTACATAGAGCCTTCTCTCTACAGCAGGTCTCCTCTCTACAGAGGGCCTCCTCTTTAAAGGGGTCTCCTCTCTACAGGGGGCCTCCTCTCTACTGAGGGCCTCCTTTCTACAGAGGACCTCCTCTACAGAGGGCCTCCTACCTACTGAGGAGTCAGAGGGGCCCTAGCGGTCAGACACAGACACTAGCGGTTATTCACTGGAGGCCCCAGGAAGTAAGAAGGGCCCTAGCTGTCAGGCTGGTCAGAGGGCCCTGAATGTCCTGACGTGATTTTTGGGATTCCCGTGAATTTCTTTCGCCTCAGACGTGATTTTGACCTGCCAGGGCCCAGGGGCACTAAAAATAAAACAAACAAAATAAAAAATGAAAATAGGACATCACCAAAATTAAGTGACCGAAATCCGTTGAGTTTTTAATTTTGCGTATAGGTAGGGGCACCACGAATTAAATTCATGACCATCCCCTTGGAGTTTTCCTGGATCATCCCCTGGTGCTCGCACGGTTGAGACAAAAACGAGTAAGATTCTGGTCTTCAATACGCCTTTTCACGCAACACGATCCAGAAAAACAAAGGTATTAGCTCAGAAGTGTTTGACAGGTGATTTTGAGCATGCAAGACGGCGTCTATAGCGCATTTAGGTCTTCGGCTTTTGGGGGGGGGTCAAATGACCCTCTCAGACCTTTTGGGGGGGGTCATGACCCCGTGGACCCCCCCCAGGATCCGCCAGTGGGTAAACTTTACCCTGGATGGGGTAGTGGGTAAATTTTACCCCACCATTTTGTTTGGGTTTTCATGGGCTTTCATATGCTACCCATATTGGGGGGATTCGTGCGATACACTTGCCAGAAATGCGTGGGTAAAACTTTCCCAGGGCGTTTTTACCCCATATATTTCAATGCCCATAGGGGTTTCTTCAGCCAGATTGATCATCTCGGCCTGTAGTATCACCATGCCGATTTTGAAGAAAATCGTAGGGGCCGCCCCATTGACCGAAAATTTTCATCTTGGGTAAACTTTACCCTGGATGGGGTAATGGGTAAATTTTACCCCACCATTTTGTTTGGGTTTTCATGGGCTTTCATATGATACCCATATTGGGGGGATGCGTGCGATACACTTGCCAGAAATGCGTGGGTAAAACTTTCCAAGGGCGTTTTTACCCCATAGATTTCGATGCCCATAGGGGTTTCTTCAGCCAGATTGATCATCTCGGCCTGTAGTATCACCATGCCGATTTTGAAGAAAATCGTAGGGGCCACCCCATTGACCGAAAATTTTCATCCTGGTTAAATCATGCTTTTGGTTAAATTGATCCGGTATTTAACCATATCATTAGGTCCGGGGTGAAGAGATCTTTCAAATGGTGGTCTTATTTTTCAGTTTCGTCCAGCCGTTTAGGCGTAAAACGGTTTTTAGATATTTCCCTAGATTTCTAGATTTTTCCCTAGATTTGGCAGCCCCAATCTGGGCTGGGCCGAATGCATATTTACGTCTGGACAACGAGTTGCGTTGGAGAGTCCGGAAATAGTGGCGATTTCAGGACCGCAAGAATGGACCGTCATTGGAATGACTCTTTTTTAAACCGTGCACTGTTTTCGGCCGAAATTTAATAGTTACTACAAAATATTTTGTTATTACGTTTCCCTAAGAATGAATGCCATCAGGGCTAAATTTTTAATACTATTGCATTTTGTCAAGAAGCATATAGTGCTGTTATATTGCAGTTTTAGCGCGTTTGTTACAAAATATGAAGCGAATAAGCGTCAGTGTAATTCATCAACAGTGGCAGAAGTTAACTTGAATGCTAATTGCTCTTGTCCATCCACTAAAATTTATTAAATATTTTGCTTTGTGTATTCCAAAAGGAGAGGAAACTATTTCATTTGTGCCTTCATGTCAGAATTGAAGGTGGATCATTAAATTTTCAACGCAGTTTACAAACAAGCGTTTGGTCTTTCTCGTTTATAAGAAGTGGCTAAGAAAAGGTTGATCAATCCTGAAGTTCAGTCATCGTACCTCAACTTGGCAGCAAGATCCCCAAGGACAGAGGATATATTGTATACATGTCCTGCTCCTGTAAATCAAAACAAACAAGCATTTGGTCTTTCTCGTATATAAGCAGTGGCTAAGAAAAGGTTGATCAATCCTGAAGTTCAGTCATCATACCTCAACTTGGCAGCAAGATCCCCCAAGGACAGAGGATATATTGTAAACCTGTCCTGTTAATCAAAACATTTTTGTGCCTTCAAAGGCTTAAGTTATCTGTGGTGTGTTCGGAGTTAGGCTATATGGCCGTTTTTGTTGTATGTTTATGTGGAGATTGAATATATAACTGTGACCCTGTGCTTGTTTGTATACTTACGGTCAAACAGGGAACAGCACATTCACATAACATACTCACCTAGCACCTAACTCATAGCTGTACCCTGCAGGATCTGTACTTGTTCATGTCTCGAGCATTAACAAAGCACCAAAGTAGCTTAGTAATCATTTCCCACATTTTCTGAGCATCTAACATGACATACAGCAGTGCAGAGCAGCTTCAGAGAAGAAGCACTTTAAATGCACAGACTCACACCACCAGCCACCCAATGAGCCAGTTCCTCAGTTGACTGTTTCCCTGGACACAGCTTGGCAATGTGAGCTAACTTTTGGCAAGTTGAAGGTTAGCAGGTAAGACTGAGTTAGGGTGAGTACCTACCTATAACTGGGTGCTACTGCCATGCAGGTCTTGGGTAGGCTGCAAATATGTGTGATGATTGAGGTTAGGTCAGCTGTCAGGTTAGTCAGGTTCAGGTATGCTCATTGCTCAGGTCACATTTTATGGACATTTGGCAAATTAAAAAACTAACAATCTGATCTAAGCTAACCCGACTAAACATACACAACTACTGACTATAGGAACTGAGCACCTACCTACTTGTGCCTACATCTCATACCATGTCAAAGTAGAGTTCCTTGGTGGAAGATTACCCTCAGTACTTTTTATCCCAGCCCTGTGAAGAAAACTAATACTTCTAAGCTCTGAGTCACTGCTGGCCATCCACAGGAAGAAACGCTGAGACTGAGAGCTTTGCCATTGTATATTGGACCAATAATGACTATCACGAATGACTATGAACACATAATATGATCACATCGTTGCATGGATTGTCACATTGACAATTTTACTACAATCCTTTTTTCAAGAAATACAGTGATGATGATTAACATCAAAATCAACATAAAGTGGATTTAGTGATCCAAGCTTTCTCCTCCAGTAGCAAATGGAATGATCGCATGTTTCATTTGCCAGACACTGAGTACCTGATGCACATTACAATCTGCATAGCATCTAAGCATAGTAAAACTGCCCAAGTCCATTCATTCTAGATTTTAACTTGATAGTTAGCACTAATTTATCTTGCTGAGCTGTTGTAAGTTATCATTCAATATTCATACCAATACATCAATATGCGCTCATCAGTCAACATTTTCTGGCATGATCCTGCTCAGTGTGCTCTTCAGTATTGCTCCAAGGTCTGCAATATTATAGCTTGTTTTTGGACAATAAGCTCTTTTAATTTTACTTTTTCTTGCTGATATATGAGCCCGATCAACTTGCGTTTATCAACCAAAATTTCATAACTTGTTCAACTTGATATTGATATTGCTCAGTAGTCAGGACCTCCGTCAGCCTCCTGGATACTTCAGATTGTTTCCAGTCAACATGCTTCCTAAATATGATATAAGTCAATCTTAAGGGATTCAAAACATCCAACAAAACGACGTACAAGAGCAAGAAAACCACCAGATAAACTAAAAAATGGCCTTGGAACAGAGCCAAGTGGTGCTCCATTTGTTTGTTTACAATGATTGTAGTGCTGATGTATTGTTAGGACTCTGAACGCCGGCTTATAAAAAATGAAACGTTTTTACAAAAGTTGTAAGGCAAGTAATATTTATCTGAAAGAACTAAAATATTCAAAAGCCAAACACTATGAAATACATGAAACGGAACGAAAAAGTAACCCAAAAATCCAGCATAATCACCGGCTCCTAAAACTGCAACACAATCAGCACTTTTCCCCGCAACTCGTTGTCCAGACGTAAATATGCGGGCCGAATGTGGGCTGAATGTGGGCTAACTTCCGTTACATCACTTAATACCCAAATTGTGTGAGAAAACCTCTTTTCTTAGAAAACCCAGCTTGAATTTCAAAAATCAAGTGAACGAAACCAAGCTTTAAAAGATAAATGCATGTAATTTTGAATGACAAATAATTAGGCTTCATGCTCAGAGATTTCGGGCAGAAACAAGACAACTATGCACTGCTACACTTCACCGTGCAATACGAAACCTCGCACGCAACACGCGCGCCCTAAACCAAAACAACAACAACGCATGCAACATTGCAACACGCATTACCACGACAAGATTACTCCTGTTTAGTATTATATCACTAGTGGCAATTCAGGGGCGTAGGCAGGGGGGGGCCACTGGGCCATGGCCCCCCCCTTGGGCGCCGAAGGCGCCCTTTGCGATTGGAGGGCGCCGAAGGCGCCCTCCAATCGCAAATGCAATTGTGATATAATCGAATCGAAAAACAATCGCGACTGGAGGGCGCCCTCCAATCGCGAATGTGTTTACAGGGAAAATACGGATGGAGGGCGCCCTCGGAGGACGCCCATTCCAAATACGCCCTCCAAATACGGTTGGAGGGCTCCCTCGGGCGCCCTCCAACCACATTTGTAGGCTGTAGCTCTCTAAGCGTAACGGTGGTCGCCTATGTAAGCCGCTGTCCCGTAAATAAGCGCCCTCTCACCCGAAGGCGCCCTCCTGTAGGTCGCCACCCTGCTACATATTGCCGCCCTTCTGCTGATCGGCGTCCTCATAATTATTGGCGCTCTCCTACCTATTGCGCCCTCATGTGAAATTTTCAAGGCCGCCTTTCTCCTTTTTGGCACCCTATTGTTCAGTGCCGCCCTCCTACCTATTGGTTCCCTAGTCCTTCCTGTTGAATGTTAATCGGGGCCCTTCTCTTATTGGCGCCCTCGTGTTGATCGCCGCCCTCCTAACCACTGGCACCCTCCTGTTGATCACCGCCCTCCTATCCACTGGTACCTTCCTGTTGACCAGCGCCCTCCGCACAGACGCCCTCCTGTTCGTGTCATGCTCTTGAGCAAAGGCGCCCTCCTCACCATTGCCACCCCCATTTTAATCGTCACCCTTCCGCTCATTAACGACTTCCAGTTGATGACCGCCCTCCCACCTATTGGCGACCTCTTGTTGATCGCCACCCTCCTATTGGTGCTCTCCTGTTCCTCGCCACCCTCTTACCTGGTGGCGCCCTCCTGTTGATTGTTGATCGGGGCCCTCCTACCTATTGGTGCCCTCCTGTTGATCGCTGCCCTTCTATCCATTGGCGCCCTCCTGCTGCTCGCCAACTTCCTACCTATCGGTGCCCTACTATCGAAACTCGGGATGTTGATCGGGGCTCTCCTACCTATTAGCGCCCTCCTGTGGATCGCAGCCCTTCTACCTATTGGCAACATCCGTTGATCGCTGCCCTCTTATCATTTATTTACTCCTTTGGCATGTTTTTCAACTTAGTCGTTCTATTGCACATAGTTGATGTCTTGCCTGTGAAAACTGCCACAAATGAACGTGCATTCAGCACAATGAATGAAGTACCTATACCTACCAAAACTATCTACGCTCTACGATGCATAAAACACGTCTTTGGTCTTAACGGATTGATCCTACTTTACGTGCATCATGGCATCTATATGGATTACGATTAAGTATTGTCAACAGGTTCGGCCGCAACAGCAGGCATCTGAAGTTTCGGTGATTGAAACTGGTTATGTGGGTACACTGTATGCATCTGTGAGAAGGCTATGAAGGCTGGTCTGAGGTAATTTTGATGATGTTTACGCATCTCGCGCTCCGGTATCAATCCGATACGGTGATCTGGTGCGTAGATATGCCACCGCCAATAAACTTTTATACATCGACACCCATGAGCCAAGCTTTCTATACAGTTTGTGTGGCAGTGGCCCGACCAAACCTTTGGTATTTTTTACACCTTCAAATTTGGTAAAAGAGCGAGAGGAGCTTTGAACGGTGATCGTATAAAAGGCGTGCCTAAAAAGCGGAGGAAAAGGTTGTTTTCAAAAATTTCGCGCGCCTTCGGCGCCGCATTTCAAGAACACTTGACCTTTTGTGACCTGGAGTATAAAGAATACACACGATGCAAAATCAATGCAGCACGACCTATACGAGGTTACGCAAAAAAAAAAAACTGGTGGCATGGTAAAAAACGCCTCCCAACCCCCCCACCCACCCCGCTGAGCGATTTTTTATCTCGCGACCGTATGGCGCCCTCCTTGGGTGAGGTGGCGCCCTCCAAACCCTTGGCCCCCCCCTTCGCGATTTTCTAAATACGCCGCTGAGTGGCATGTTCCTTTCGAAGCCTGCCATTCATTGGCTAGTATTCTGGTTGTTATAGAGATCGACGACCACAAGCGCTTCACTTCAGCCTTTTCTGTTATCGAACAGGTATAGAAAGCAATCATATATGAATGAGGATTATCAATAGACAGGTGTGACATATTATAGTGCATGTATGGCCTAAACTTTTGAATTTATTAATATATATTTTGAATTTTGACACAATCGCACTCGAAGACCCATGAATAAGCAATAAATGCGAAACGTTGGGTAATTTCTTGCGTTTTTTCCCCTTTTAAAATAAATTCAAAAGTTTAGGCCATACAGGTTGGTTGGTTGGTTTGGGTTAAGCACCACATCCAGTGGACCAAGGTGCTAACCGGAACTCTCACGCTGTTCCAAGCGGTCAGGTAGCGGCAATTACTACTTCAATTACTACTTCGCCAACTACTACTTCACTCGGGACGCGCGCCGCGAGGTGATGCCGCCGGTGCTGCTCGCCGAGAACACCGGCGCCGCGCTGCTCACCGCCAAAAAGAGCAAGAAGGAGAAGAAGAAAGAGAAGGAGGCGGCGGCGGCGGCGGCCGAGACCGAGTGAGTACCGGGGGGGGGGGGGGAGGGGGTTGGAGTACCGGAGTTGCCCAGGGTTACGGAAGTCGTAGGTTGTGGAGATAGTGGTGACCTTTGTTCTCTGCTGTTGTAAGCTTTAAGTTCATTTGAATCAATATTGTAAAATTTGACAATCTTACTTCGGATTTTGAGTGTTTCATCCAGTACCTACCAGCGCTATTCGAGTTTTATCTTGAAGTTGTTTTCATGCTTAATTTGCTCCATCCCTCGATAGATCTTGTTCGCGTTGTTTAATAACACTTATTTTTGGCAAGTTCTAGTGTTCTAGTGCTTCTAAGATGGCAAGTTCTAGTGCTTTCGTAACATGTTGCGACGTCGTCAGTGGTGGTTGACCCCTACTATAGATACCCAGCAGGACGCCTACTAATTGACCTGACCTGACCGGACCTGGCCTAAATGCATGAAGACATCATCTGTGATCAAAACTAAGAGAAAATTTGTGATCAGCACCCCGAAAACCCCATAACAGCTTCACTTTACGAAGTTCTACCAGGTCCCGATTTTCCCGACTTTTCTATCACTGACCTGACCTTAAAGGTCAATCAATGACCTAGGACCTTAAAATTAGGCATCATTGGCTTCCTCTCGTTACGGGCAGCACGCTCATTTATTCCTCGAAGCTCTAGCTCGATCAGGGGCCGAACGGCAGGGCGGGGGGGGGGGGTCCTACCGACCCCCTACACGCTAGACGCTGGAAAAGCCGCACACAGGCGAGGGTTAATATGTTTTTAATTGATGATTTCCCAACTCTGGATCTCCTCCCCGATACCGACCGTCTCGTCGCTTGTCTCAGCACCGACCCCCCCCCCCCCTACGATGCCTTGTCACTCTACCCCAGTACTGACACCCCCCCCCCCCCTGACAGTGCGGGTGCCCAGGTGTCGACGGCAGCGGCGTCGGCAGTGCCGCGTCCCGGCCAGCCCTACGTCTGGGACGGCCGTGCCGAGGTTTGATCGTCGACACCAACAGACGACGTCAGGGTGCGTGTACATAGGGAGCTAGGATACTATTGTGGTCAATACAGCTATGTCGATAGGTGGATGTGTTTTTGGTGGGTTGGGAAGGGAAGGGGAGTGATGGATGGGGCGGCGTGGGTGTGTGCTGTCCAATGGGAGCTGCTCGATGCGGGGCTGGGGTGATAGCGTGGTGAATGGGGGTGTGGCTTGGTTCATTTGGTGGAATTTATCGTAAAAGCAAGGCGATATGGCTAAGGTCAAAGGTGTCTGATCTAGAACAAAGCGAATGCAGGGCAATTGATTCAAGATTATCTACAAGTCGCAGCAACAAGTTCGATGTTTGCTTGTTTGCTTTCACTTGTAGATTTTGCTTGGTTAGTATCGAAAACCCGTGGTCTCGGTGGTTTTCTTTTATCTCACTCCCTCGTCCACAAGAAAAGTGTTGAGCAGGCATCTCGGAGTGGGTCAACATCAGTCCATGGTCGTATCGATCTGTCTGTGAATCCCGGCTCAACTCGCTGGGAGTCGGCTGTAGGTCTGCTCTGAATCCCGGCCCAGCTCGCTCACAGCCTGGTTTAGGTCAGCAGTGAACGCCGGTGTTGCCAAGTCGTTCTTCTATCTGGGCCAAACTGTGGGCGGTGGATGGGCGGAGCCGCGGAACTGGGCCGGGTCGGACCCGGCTCGCAGATACGACAGAAGTTGTTTTACATGGCACAATATTTCTCCAAACAGCCCCGACTTATTTTCTTTCAGCAAAAGAAAGCCGTTGAAACATCGTTTTTATCATAGTCGAGACTAATCAAGTGTTTCCATTAGGGATGCATGTTTAATTGGCGAATATGGACGGAATACCGGTTGTCAACTTTGGCAACCCTTCATCTTTGGCCGAGCCTGGACGGTTTTTGTACGGTCTGCGGTGGACTGGAGCGATCATCACTGTGGCTTGTCTGTCCGGCCACCTCGTTTTTAACCGCGACGGCCCTGGGAGTCTGCTGCATCATTGCTGACCTCGCTGCATGTCAGGCACGCTCGGTGGGACAACTGGTCCGGGCAGAGGCACAAAATGATGCACTGGGCACTGGGCACTACGCCAGGGAAAGCTCCGGAAAGTCTCAGCACTTGACCACATCGCAGACCGGTGTGAACCGGTGTTAGCCCTGGTCCGTTCTTGCTGCGGTTACTACAAAAGTGATTTGTGATCGGGCAGACATGAGAGCGTGCCTGGATTACTAAACGGGGCGGTACGGACGGGAAGACGTCGGTGTGGCCGCCGCTATTGTGGAGAGCCGTGCGTGGGGCATCACTAATTGTAACGGCCATACGCGCACTAGAGGCCAGTGGGGGAGACGGTGCGTCGTGGGTGGTGACTGGTGTGTCGCCCACAGTCTCAAGAAAACGCCATTTCCATTTATCCATCAGGACCTAGTGTAGTATCCATTTCTCCATTAAGATGCAAGAGATTATGTGCGATGCTATAGAATCTAAACACACACAAAAACAACGAGGCAGCTAAGCACTCACAACCTGACAGCGGTAGCCACATGACATGCACTGTATGCTAGCAAAGTCACATAGCTCGGCAAACAAAACTGCTATGTGTCACATCAGCCATAAAACACGAGTGGAAGTGCACGGCTCTTTTTCCAAGACGATGTCCAAGTGATCCAACAATGTAATGGATCATGATTATTCGGCCGAGTTCGTCCCAAAGTTACCATGAATGACGACCCTTCATTGCGGACAACGCTAATTACTAAAAGATATTCTGGCAAGTTACTGCGAGGCATTCTTTGCAAGTCAAACACGTGTAGTTCTAAAATTGGAAGCAGACTGAGACTTCGCATCACCGGTAGGCGAGAAATGCGTCAGCAATCTAGATCACTGCACATTCGATCACTGCGCATCTGGATACTAAGCATTCGAGCTCAATTCGAGCAAAATGCTAGCGACAAATACCACTTTACTCACGATAAAGGGTGTCATTTGCAAAACTAGGAAAATATAACATCCATCTCAATCTTGGCAGCTATTTCGCCTCGTATAAAAGCTCATTGGGATTAAAAAGTCATTTGTAATGACGTAAATGGGACTAGTATTCAAGAGTAGAAAATGGCGTAAAAGATGCCTTCGTCAAAATATCTCGCGTGATTCCCGAAATTGGTTACCTATCAAAATTTCCTCCCTGTGACAATTTCCAACAGACGCCACTGTCCCAAACAACCCCAACCCAGTTTCTGCCTCACCACAAGCTAGCCGCGCTAAAACTCCACGCACAGCGTGCCGCGTTCTTAATACCGCAGATACCCTCCCCACCCCTCCGTTGCCGGGCGATCCTGCGTCGCGGCCGTTTATTCTAGCCCTGTGATGGATCACTCTGCAGTTGACTGAGTCATTACGAGCTGAGCGGCTGGCTCTGCAGTCCGACCAATCCCGGTCTCTGTCCTTCACTGATCACTCCCACACCCTGTGAGAGCCGCACGAGCGCACATTCCCTACCCACGGACAGTTTAGGGACACTGACACACACCGCCTTCCTCTGCCGCTCAAACCACGTTGTCCTGTCTCGAGTCTCTGCGTTCTCACGCTCTGAGTCAGCGCTGGTAGACCGTCATTCCGCCCGGCTGGGCCGTCCCTCATCGCTGCAACACGCGCTGGTGTTATGGTGTTTATCCTTCCACCGCTCGCCGTGTGATGGTACGGGAGGCGGCTCGGAGCGATCTCCGACGCCGTTACATCAGCACGCAGCAACCGCAACACTGGGACGGGTAGTCGGGGAAATGGACCTTGTTCTCGTTGCCGTAGATGTGGAAGACGCCCTCCTTTCCGTCCAGAACGTATTCCACCGCGTTTACGGGGACAATCTCCACAGAATGACGCTGCGGAGGGCAGATGAAAATGACGTCAGAGGGGGTACAGTCCTCGAACGGACAGACATCGCATGGTGCAAGGTGACTGATAAATCACATTATTTTATCTGACTGCAAGCAGTTCTAATAACATTGTTCGTCGTGCTGAGTTGCGAGCGAACGATGCAATACGATTGTCGTTGGCGGCGACTAAACTCATTCACACCGAAACGCGTAAACAAAGTATGTAGATACCAAGGACTCTGCACTGAATGTCCTTCACATCCAATAAGCCTTGCAGCAAACTACCCAATGTGTTTCAATCATACTCGTCGAAGCAGTGCTGTGCGTCTCCTTGATTGCATCAGAGCGTAGTGGAAACTTATGTCGGCTTTCCTCGGTTGGCGATGTCCTCCGGACCAAGATTACTTTATCCGGACAGTCCGCGCACCAAATACCCTACTAATCATCATCCTGTGACCAGTCGTCGGTCAGTATTATCTGGTGACCACTCTCACCTGCATGAGGATCCGCTCGTTGGGCCACTTGGTGGCGTGCTTGTGGACCAGGTCCTGCGAGGCCTGTCCGATCTGGGGGTCCAGGAAGCCGGCCACCGGTGCCACTCGGGGCTGCTCGTCGCTGAAGGCCACCTGACCGCTGGCCGACTTCACCAGCTTGTCCGGCAGCGCCGTCTTCTCCAGCACGAACGTGTCGTCGTGCTTCTTCCTGGACGTCAGGGAGACAGAGATAATAAAATGAGAGCCGCACATGTGTTTGCCAAGTCCTTCAGGGTATACAAGATGCCTTTGACAGGCGCCTATATACTTACATAGATCAGCTTCGGCGAAAGGAGATGCTCTGTTTAAAATGCCGAGTTGTACGGACGGTAAACAAACTAGAGCGCCGTATGTACATCGGCCGATGGCCATGGGTTAAGTCCTGCCCTCTGTTTACAAGTCGTCCATTAGTGAATGTTTTGCGCCTTAGACGTGCGAACAGCCACGGTTGGCGCTCCAGTCATCTCTACGCGGTCTACCTACTGTCCCTACCTAGCAGTAAGGCGAACGCACGTCAGGCAAACGCACGTCAGGCAAAGGCACGTCACCTTCCGATATCGAGCGTCCCGTGTCCCTGGCTCCCGCACCAGCCCGCGGTCCTCACCAGGTGACGGTGAGCTCCACGTAGCAGCGCAGGTAGCGGCGCCCGTCACACGTGGAGCACGTCTTCATGCCGGTGGTGTGGCACCAGGTGCACGGCTTGGTGCCGCGACCGTCGCACCAGGTGCACTGTTCGTCACCAATGCGCGTCCCGGTACCCGAGCAGCTGCTGCAGGTCTCCTGCAACAGCCGAACGATAAATGGGGTGTTGATAAACATGGAGCAATTGGCGTAAAAGACAAGGACCAAAAGACCAATAACATTAGCAGTATGCGAGTAGTCATTAGTTTGATATTCGACGTTCCTTTTACTCACTTTGCTCGTCTGTTTTTACAGCTAACGTTTACCGATCTCCGGACTCCGACCGGCAATTGTGAAGCTGTATAGTTGCCGCTGTTGACAGTTTCTCTCGGTTTGTCGTAACTCGTATACCCCGATGCGGACTACTCACGTGTCCGCGGCCGTCACAGTCACCGCAGCGGATATCGCCGTGTCCGCGGCAGTCGTGGCAGGGCTTCACCACCTGAGTGTTGGGCACCTCCACCTTCTGGGAACCGTCCTGTCGACACAGAGCGGAGGCAGAGGTTAGGTGGGCGAGAGAGAGAGAGAGAGAGAGAGAGAGAGAGAGAGAGAGAGAGAGAGAGAGAGAGAGAGAGAGAGAGAGAGAGAGAGAGAGAGAGACCGACACCTCCTGCTGCTCCCGTGAAACCTTTGTGTGAAAAGTCAAACGTTCAACATTATTACTATCATTTCACGAGCTCAATGACTATGTAAGAAAGATATGCTCTACCGTTCTTCTTTCTTTTGCGTATTAACCGTCCTTGCCTAACACTTACCAGTTCCAAGCCTGGAGATGCTTTCAACATCCCGCGATATGTGACTCATCATACGCTGCACATCTCTCCTAAACAAAAATAAACACACATCATCAGGCGCATACCTTGAACATTTTCTGAGGCGCTACGGGTACGTCCCAGGGCAGGGGCGGCTGGAGGCCGGTGGCTGCCAGCGCCGCGCCGTCCGACGGCTCGTACTGCCACTTGGTCTCTCGTGCCTCCGTGAACGTGTCCAGGGTGTACTGAGGGGAGGGGGGGGGGGAAAGGGAGCAGCGTGAGATAGGATGAGGAAGGCGAGTGGCGTTGGTTGGTTTCACACGAAGGTTGCGACGCCAGACGGCTTTTATAGTCTACATAGCACCTGTAACATTTATACCGTGTTACCAGTTACCGAAATTAAATTACACTCTCACCGATAGCAAGAGTTAAAAAGTATCTATTGATCAGAAGTCATAAGCTATTTATGATGCCAATTGCAAGCCTACGTGGTACATTGTGTGATTAGCGCTCGACGTATGCGTTATGCTAAGTCGTAACCGTCGACGGTAAAAGTATAAAAAAAAATGAACGGACCTTAAATGCTGACGACGGGGCGATGTTGACGATTTTCATGTCGTTGGCGGGTCCCTTTCCCCAGCAGCAGTTTTCCGAGACGAGCTGGTTGAGGCAGGCGCGCGCCTCGTTGTCGGTGAGGGCCTCCTGGTTGTAGGAGACCGGGCCCTGGTCACCGCCCCCCGATGGCGGCTCGTAGGGCGGCGGCGGGGGGAGGAAGCCTGCAGAACGGGCCGACATAGAACATTAAAGCGTATGTTTCTTGAGACGGATGTCAAGTGAATATCTAAACGGAAGTCATGTTGCTCAAGATATGTGGTGACGAAGACGACTCGTAAGGCAGTTCAATCCACGAAAAAGTTTCTGATTGTGCAGGCGAACCTTTTATCAGAATAGTTTTTAACCGAAACAATGCTTCCTTTATATATGACGAAAAGTGTGGCCATCACCTTCGGCAAACATATTGCCAGAAGAATGGGAATAGGTATAAAACAAACGAGCATTGCGGAACGAAAACCGCACGCTCCGACCGACAGCTATCGGCGAAGTGAGTACACAATACACCTGATGTTTGTGGACGCTATCAGTTCAGGAAAACCGAAAACAAGCAGCCGAAGCAGCCGGCCTCTGTGGGTCATTCAAAGAATCGGCTTCCGCGTCCCATTGACGGGCCGTTTCAAATACCTAATCTCCCTAATGGAATAACGCAATCGCGTCTGAGAGCCCAGACTTGAGCGTCAAACAGACGTGCTCACTGCTCAGGTACCGATAACCTAGGTACGCCGTACGAGTTCTTTCAAACTTGTGAGTTGTGTGCCGTGCGCAACGCCGGAAACTGATGCTTGAACAAGCGAACAAAGCGACCGTCCAGCTGTGCGCATACGTGCGAACCGTAAAAAGCCCGTCTCTTGAAGACCGGCATGGTAGGAGATTGACATTATAATCATTGATACAAGAACCTATTTGGTTTCCATCCGAACAGTACAATTGACTGAAGTGAACTTAATTTATTATCGTATTTTTAATGAATTGCACTTCATACAATTTTACCAATTAATCCATACAGCTAGTTGCCAAAATAATAGCCAACCCCCTATGAATCACAATCCTTTACGAGTACATATGTATACAGGCATCGGTAAAATCCTTTTTGAAAGGATTGCATTCCCAATCCACATTCCTAGTGCCGAAGTGGATTGCATTCCTACCCGCAATCCCCTTTTTTCTCTTGGATTGTGATCAAATCCGCAATCCTTTTTTGCAATCCTGTTGTATTATTATGTGCACTAGTGGATCTGGGGGAGGGAGGGGGGCATATGGCCGTGCCTCCATCCCCAAATCACCCACTTCTAGTACCTAGTCTTGCGAGTAATTCGTATCTAAGGCACAGGTATTTTATGGGAAATATTTTTTGCCTCAAACACCCCCACATTTAAACCTCTACCCAACCAGTGTTTTATATTTTTAAAACTCGCCCTCAAATACGCAATTTTGCTCCTCCTATGTAGTTCATCAGCGTATATTATTTTGAGCGTTTAAATTAAAAGCGTTTAAAGTATTTCAAGTTTCGATGTAAAGCCCTTGATAGCAAAGTACATTAAGCCGATGAAGCCGATCTCATAATTTTCAATCGCAACAAACCATTTCAAAGCACTAATCAAACACAATCCGGATTGGATTGCAAAAATTGGAAGTATGATGCAATCCAATCCGCAATCAAATCCTGTTTTTTGGAATGGATTTCAAATCCAGGTGCAATCCACCAAAAAGGAATGCAATCAGGATTTTGCAATCCTGCAATCACAATCCTACCGATGCCTGTATGTATATCGCCAAAAGGCGACACCAGCTGCTAGCTATCAACCCACACAGTTCCCGTCGTCGACCGCTCACCTCCATCGAAGTTGGTGCCCTCGTAGCCGGGCAGGTCACCGATGGAGTCGAGCGGCGGCGCCGTGGGCACCAGCTGACCCTTGACCTGTCGCTGGGAGCTGTCCTGGCCGGTCGAGTTGGCGCTGGTGGCCTGCCAGCCGATCTGCTGGCCGGTGGGCATCTCACCCATCGGGTAGTGCGGGCCCGACATGGCGGGGCGGCGGCGGGGCGTCCGGGGAGGGAGCGCGGCCGGCCGTGCTCACCACCGTCGGCGGGCAGCTGGGGGGGGGGGGGGGGGGGCAGGTCAGTGGGGGAGCACCCGGCGGGGAGGGGTGGCATCGTCCGGTGACAGTGCATCTACCGATTATACATGTCACATTTGTATATAACTTGCATTGCGTAATGTTCTATAGCGCGGATTTTGCATTGTGGAATGACGATATATTTCAGAGTACGGGTCGACGTCCAATACAGGGCAGGGCGCGTGACCAGCGGGCCAGGGGTACCCGCGGATGTCCTGGATGGCACAATCTTGGATGGCACTCATCAGGGGCCTCGCGTTACGCTGAAACCAAATTGTCATTGTTACTACTCTTTCTTACTTCTTAGACCTCGCCCTCATCTTCCTCCTTTTCCGCTCAAGCCTCCTCATACGCCTCTTCCTCCGCTTTCCTCTCATCGTGAGCGATTCCTCATGCACTAGTGTGAAACACAAGGAACGTTGTGGCGGAAATTAATTTCATTAATCATTGGCACGGCGTGAAACTGTCAGTCGTTGAATGATTATCAAACTTGTTACCTATCTCGAACGACAGCACCACAAATTTGCTCATTGGATTTGAACAATCACACAATTTCGATTGTTAGGTCGAAATACCTATTACGATATCAAATATCTCTTTTTGTACTCGACTAAATACCTACTTAAGTCAGAACGTCCCGTCCATTTTAGCCTCTGCTGACTATATATCACATTCATATCGTATACCTACGTCTAGGCTGAATAATACGGCCCCATTGACGCCAGGGCCCGCGGGTCCTGAATGCCACGATAGCTGCGATCTCCCTCCCCTCCCTCCCCTTCGGTTTCGGGCTGCAGCGACACCCGACCACGCGCTCGCTATTCATTCCAATTCGCCGCCAAGGCCAGGCCAACCGACGGCGCCGACGACCGTCCGCACCGCACGGGCCGATTCGCCGGGTCACCACGGCACTCACCACTGTGACACCATCGGTCAACACTACACACGAGCGAGCACAGCACCACCACGACACGTGACGGTCGGTCACCAGATCACCAATGCACCAACCTGAGAGAGCGGTGCCGGCACCACGCCCAGCTCACAGCTGCCCGACTCGCGCGCAGCCGCCGACCTCACCCCAGGCGGCCGACTGACGCCCGGCAGAGTGCGGGCTCGGAGGGAGGAGAGAGGAGGCACCGTCCGGCCCGGCTGGCCCATGTGGAGCGACCGCCAGACAGAGCAGCAACTTTGGCGGCCGCTCGGGACCGGCAGATACCCGACGGTTGATGATATATGCGATGGACCCACGTCACGTCATACTTACTCTCTGGTTGAGGAAGGGCAGGGTACCACTGTCGCCACTGCGATTTCTCGGAACATGGCAGTGATAAATTGGATATCTTTCCGGTGAGCTCTGATTTCGTAGCGCCAAACCATTTTCAGGTCAATGCACTTTCAAATGTGGTCATACATGAACCACTACATTGCCTAATAAGAGACGCTTCCGTAACACTGTCAGTTGTATGCAATTTTAGCACACAAGAGAAAAAACGGTTCAACTTTCGAAATGAAGCAATTTTAAGTCCCTACAGCTCAGAAGCAAAGTAATCTTTCTACAGCTTGCATATCTCAAACCGTCGCCACTCGCCGGACGTTTCGGCTTTCCACATAGGTCACGGCCGAAACGGTGCGGACACTGCCCCTGGGACCTCACCCGGGCTGACCTCATACATGTGAATAGAAATAAGACGCTAATTTGTTATCGAATGACATCAGCTTCCATATCTCACAATGATGAGACACCCGCGTTGAGAATGTGAGTCTCAAATTCTATTCACATTATCAAAGCGGGGGTCTCCCTGACTCCAGCGCTCGAAACGCGTCGTGCGGTACAGCATAACTTCAGGCGTTTACTAGTAGCGCCATCTATGGGGATAAATAATAGCTCAAAGTACAACAAACACTACGCCGAAGTTAGTGGTTTTGATTGACATTCCTGAAGGGGAAATGTGTAACTATTTGTCAGGGGGCGGTATATAGGCATTTGAGGCGAATTGCTAACAGAGCGAGGTAATGTATACTCACGTGAACTAAAAACAAAAAATCAGGTCAATAACCTTCAGGTTTTTTAGCGCACTGCTCTGAGGGAAACCGCTGCCGGTAAAACTGGCGAGCATGTCGTAGACCACATAGAGATATACCTATTTATGTATATATCTTTCAAGTTTCAACATTAATTTTCCACGAAAATTTGCGAGCAGCCTGACCAGTGACCACCCACCTTCTCCACCTTCTATCCCTGCCTCCGCCCCTGGAGTCTGTCACTAGCGGTAAAGATGGCGCTACCTGCCTGTGAAGCCACCCCGCTCCGGCCCTCCTCCCGCCAGCGACACTCACGAGTCCCCGTGGCCGGCAGGAAGGAGCGCTGCAGCCGCTGGAGCCGATTCAGACATCACTAGCAAGGATCACTAGCAACAATCGGCCGACTGTCGGGGCCAGTGGTCGCAGTGGTCGGTGCGCAGCGGTAGAACTCCGAGCCCCGAGGAGACTGGCAGAGCTGTCCCAGAGGAGATCCAGTAGCCGGTGGTCATCGGGACGCGGCGCTTGCTCCTGCACAACACAGGTTAGTCACGTGTGTTGGTCACGGTATTTCGCGTCGACTAGTAAAATATCTGATCGACGTGGCAGAGATTTGCATTCTTTGCAAATGGCGAATCAGGAAGTAGAGAAACGGTTACGAACCTACTGCAAATGTTGTAATGTTGAGCGTACCCAGAGAGGCCATTGGGGACGTGAACATGCGGCGCACATCGCGGTGCAACGTTCAAGGTCAATGTCGTATCAGCGTCAGTCACGTAACGCGATAAGATGTGGCTGCGCTGTGCTAACAGGTGATAAGTTTTCTATTACCGTAACTCGGCACACAATGACATTGTGAATGTGTAATGGTAAATCGAGGTATACGTTCAATGTTGCGCCTAGCCCCACTCTGGCCTCGAGTTGAAGTGTGGTGTCAATGTTAGACTACCCATAATCCTATTTCACTGACGAATGACGATAACAGTCGAAGAAGCTCGTCGTCGGTGGTGGCTGCGAGCGGCGCTGGCTCGTCATCCGGCTCGTGTTTTCATCACAGCACCACTTCAGCGCTGGGTCTGGGTTTTCCCACTGTTTGCGCCCGGGGCGCCTGGTTGGCCTGCACCCGGGGTCGCCTGGGTTCGTCGAACGCCGCCCGACAGAGTGACTCTGCCCCAGTTCCATCCGCAGGGGTACCGTACCTAGAATTGGTAAAGTTCAGCAGTTGAAGTCATTTTGTCACAGTCCTTGTGATGCTAGGTCGAATTAGTGGCAATATTCGACTTTATTTTAGCATCATGAGTCCGCGGCATCGGACCTTGAGCCAAATGCTGAATTTTCCAAGCAAGCCTGCAACTTTTAGGAACACTGCCACTGACTAAACAAATGCATTCTGGGTAAACAAGTTATGTCGCCCTCGGCTTTCATAACAAATATTTATCACATCGACATTCGACACCCATCCCAAGAAAGCACGGTAGGACCGCGCGGGTCGCGGCGCGCACATCACCCTCGCCCGGCGCCTGGCAGTCCGCATTTGACCTGCCGGCTCAGATTACCGTCTGTCCTTGATGTCTGACCGGCGAGAGCTGACCGGACATTCCAGCGGGAGCTCAGCGGGACGGGGAGGTCATCGGGGGTTCCCGGTGACTCGGCTACCTGACGCGACTCCGGAGCGGCGCGGTGGCATTACGACTGGCGAGCGGACCCGTCTGCAGCCACCGGCGGATCCAGGGAGGGAAGTTAGGGTCACCGGTCATATCCCCCGACCCCTCAAAAGCTGATAGTGACCAGGTGCGCCTTACAACAACGCCGTTCGATTTATTCAGATATGTCGGATTATCTCTCCCGTTAACAATTTTTTTTTTGGTGCAGCCGTTCAAAGACCAGTCATCTATGCAAATCACTTGTTTCGATCTACAGACTACAATATCAATTACGTGATTCCCTCTAAAACCGAACGGACGGTCGGATGTGGTTCCTACGAGCTGCCGTCGCCGCAACCACCGGATAGCGTAGTTCCAGAAAAGATGTGCCCATCAGGCGGGAAGGGAGGGGAGGATGTCAGGAGATGTTGCACAACTGGTGCAATGCTGAGACAGACACGGCTGGAATACGTGCCATGCGTGCATTGTGGACGACATAAAATGATCGTGCATTTACTGTTGCCATTTTGGTAATAACATCGGAGCAGGAAGAAACAAGATGTCCTGAACCCATTCGCTGCCGTTGCATAAAAAGCGACAAGCTGTGCCACAATAATGACACGTTGGCGGAGGTATGTGTTTGTTGATGAGTGCAAGTTATAAGCACGTTGTAAAAATAATTTTTATTTATTTACTTTTATTCACGTTTCTAGCTTCCATGTCTACTTCGTTGTAGCTGCAGAATCGAGCACTGAACTGATTCCTCAGAAGTTATTATTTCTAACGGCTGGTATATGTTCTCTGTTTCAGAATGGCTTACAATGCCGGACCGCCGCAGGGTGGCCCTCCCTTCCAGCAGTATCCGTCCCAGCAGAACCCACCATACCCGTCCCAGCAGAACCCACCATACCCGTCCCAGCAAAACCCACCATACCCGTCCCAGCAAAACCCACCATACCCGTCCCAGGCTGCCCCACAGTACCCGTCCCAGGCCGCCCCGCAGTACCCGTCCCAGGCTGCCCCGCAGTACCCGTCCCAGGCCACCCCGCCGTATCTGGACCCCTCCGCCTCGTCGGCGCCGCCTCAGATCGACGGATACAGGGACATCGGCTTCGACGGAGGTGAGTTTCGATAATAAATGATTGTGGGCGAGCCACAGGAGTTACATAGGTCGAGGGAACTTTGCATTGTGCTGTTAACTTCATTTATCTAAGGAATCGAACTTCCCCACGGATGTTAGTCTTACATAAATGCGATGTTACATGTTCGGACTTCAGCATAATCACCGTACTGCTTTTGAGACCATCTGTGTAATAAGTATCGCTTTCACATCATAGATGGCGCTAGTAGTGAACGCCTGTAAGTATGCTGTACCGCACGGTCCATTTCAAGCAAATGTCGTTCCACTTTCCGATGCTTCGGGAGCACTTGATGGCGACCATGAATTTTGGGAGGGGAATTCTGACGTTCTCAAATTCCACATGACGCTTCATGACCTCGCCCACAGTCAGTTTGCCGCCAGTTATATCCCTAATTTGGCCGATTCCCGGTAGGGTTCGTTCGACCGCCGGCCGATCCGATGCCGTCCGCGCCTCCGGCCGACCAGCCGCGCATAGCCTTCACCCAGGATCCGCTGACCCGGGACGAGGTCAAGGACGCGCTGTCCGCCTTCGTGGCCCAGCACTGCTGCTACGGCAGCGGTCCTATCAAAGACATGCAGATCAGGAACGTCGCTCCCACCTTCACGTTCAAGGTTCGTGAGCCTGAAACCATTAATTTGCTTTTTCTGAAGATTACTTAGGTGATAGCGCTTTTGCAATAGGTAGGCTCATCGGTATATCACCGTGTATTCAAATAGGGGGCATTCCACGTCAAATCAAACACCGAAATCCGTCATCCCCTTCGATTTTTCTGAAAATTTGCAGGCAGACTGGGCATGGTTCAAAACTGAGTTACGTGTAATATTTTCGAAATTTGATAACGTATCGCCGAGATATAGGTCATCGAATATAGCCAAAAATGCCACACATCATTTTTTTAAAATGCTTATAACTCTGGTTCCTTTTCTGGTATCAAAATGATATTAACAGGGTTTTGTAGGCAATTGATAAGGCTTTGATTTTTAATTATAAAATTAAATTGAAGTGACCTTGAAATGCATTTGACCTTGAATTAAAACAGAAAAATTTAAATAGCAAAAAACACGCCGCCTTCGATTTGAGTAATTTTTACATATTATGTCCGTCACAATGTTCCTAACCATCTGTGAAAAAATTGGAGTGGGCCATTCATAACTTTCGCGGCAAACGCCGTTTTCATGCATCAACATCACGCAACCGCGCGTGACCTTGAAAGACAGAGTCAAGACATGCTTGCTTGTGTACACTTTCTGAAATGAATGATTGCTGATTAGTGATATCCCAAACTCTGCGAGAATGGAAATGCATAGTCATCGTAGTCAAGCATTCACGTTCCATTGTAAAAGTGTCTCAGGCAAACGGTATTTTGCGGTGAATTTTGAGCCGTGTGGAAATGCATCATGAAATAATTCAACGAAAACATTATCACGCAACGATATCTTCACGTCTTTTGATCTTCACTATACGAAAGAACATACATTTTTGAGTATGTATGGGGAATTTCTAGTTAATCCGATAATAAATATGGCAGTTAGAGACTCCTGCTAAGAGTAACATGTCGCCGGCTGAGGCGGGATCGGCCGACGCGGGAAACGCAGCAGTCACAATTTTGTGTTTACACGTTCATATTTCAATTGTTTACCAACCTATTTTCAGAATTCTTTCACCATAAGATTGCCTGTACATTTCTTAGTCTTCTCACAAAATTTGACGCGAATCGAACGTAATCAGCGGTAAGGAGCGCGATGTAAAGACGGAACCGTTCCGTTCCGTCCCGGCACAGTCTACAATTCAGGCGGCGCGTAGCGGTCGGCGCCGGCTGCCGAGTCGCCGCGTCGCCGCGGCGACAGGATGTTCACTTTACACCGCTATTACTAGAACAGTTGTGAACCGATTTTCTTATTGCTTGCACGATGAGATGTGCAATTCAATTCTGGAAGGTAGCCATAAGTAATTTCGCATCAATATTATGAGATATTGGCGAAAAACAGGAGGGGTGGGGCGAAATTCACTCTTCCCCCTCCAATGCGCGTGCTAACATACGTTTACATATGTGCCATTTTCTTCAAAACTTATGAATGGCCCACTCTAATTTTTTCACAGGTTGTTAAGAATATGGTAGGCAATAAAATATATGAAAATGAGCCAAATCGAAGGTGGCGTGTTTTTTGCTATTTCAATTTTTGTGCTTAAGAACAGAGTTAAGCAAATTTCAAGGTCATATATTTAAGTCGATGCAATTCTAAACAAATTCTTAAGAAATTACCTAAACAGTAAGGTTTATTTCATTCAAATCAAACAAGTACAACCAAAGTTATGGTCGTTCAAAAATATAAAGATGCAACATTTTGTAAAAATTTGATGCCCTATATTTAGAAGACCTGTGGTCAGAATGTGCAAAAAACATCAATGTAATGTCCGGGGCGACACAGGAACTCGCTCACAAATTTATAATGAAATCGCTGATGGTAAGGTGCAAAACAGCCGATTTTTGTTCGATTTGACGTGGAATGCCCCATAGGTATTGCTGGTATGCCGAAAGTGTTTGACTCTAAACTGTAACGGCAGTCATTCATGAAGATCTTACGTCAGTTTTCTCGTTTGATTCCATAACTGCTGAAATACTTGCACGTGGTGAATGTCCGAGCATCTAATGTGACATCCTACGGAATTTTCAGTATACCCTGGAGAGTTTTGTGGAGAAGCGCGAGACAAAGTGGAAGTTTGAGCCGTTCTCGGGAAATGGTCTTCCGGCCGGCGGGGGCCCGGCGCCTCAGCCGTGGGAGATTCCGCTCACACCGGGGGCGCTGTTCAAGGTGGGATCACTACTGGTCGGGCTACCCAACACAGCGGCGCAGCTAGAGCTGTTTTATTGCTTGGCCGCCCTTATCACTCTTATTAGTTTATGTGCTTATACAAGGGCGCAAAGATAATTTTTGAAAGCTATGCATTTCTCGCACTGGTATGATTTCAAAGAGGCAACAAAAGTTTCGTTAACTTTCAAAGAAAGCTAATTCTTGCTTGTTTTTACAAAACGTAGTCGCAAGCCCCGATCAATCAATAGGTAAATGAACCCCATCCAAGTTGCCGCGGATCGTGTTCTTCCAGGCCCCATACTAAGTCGGGACTACTATGAACGTCAAACCCCTTGGGACCCCACTTTTTTCCGATAATTTTTAAATGCGTCAACTTTCGTTGACAATATTCTGGCAATGTATGTTTCAGAACCTGCCGAAACTTTTATTACTAAGGTATTTTGACGCCAAACGATTATGGAAGGTACTTCTCATTCACTCGTAATGCTAAGGTCAATTCAGGCCCGGGCAGAGGCTTGCGCTCGGCCACACTCGAGCCCCGCCACCAGCGCCATCTGCTCTAAATGCCATCTACCAGCGCCCGCTACCGCTACCAGCTACCGCCCACCATCAAGCCTGAATGGAGCGATAGACGCGAGTGACCGGTCGCCGGGCAAGGAGCGCCGGAGGGGTAGGGCGGAGCTTAGCGCTGACGTCATTGCGTGGCTCCGCCCCATGAGCGCGTAGCCTCTACCCAAACAGCAGATTCGTTCCGTGAAATTTAACATTACGAGTGAATGAGAAGTACCTTTCATAATCGTTTGGCGTCAAAATACCTTAGTAATAAAAGTTTCGGCAGGTTCTAAAACACACATTGCCAGAATATTGTCAACGAGAGTTGACGCATTTAAAAATTATCGCAAAAAAGTGGGGTCTCAAGGGGTTTGACGTCCATAGTAGTATCGAGTTCCGCATTTGCCGTGCGATAACGTTCACTCTGACTGTGGGGCCTGTGTTTCAGGACGAGAAAAAGGTGCTACAGGTGCCGAACACTCAGACGCTGAGGCCCTGTCACGACTGCCAGGCTCACGGGGATGTGCGCTGCAAGCACTGCGCCGGCAGGGGGCAGGTCAGATTACCACACGATCACCACTCACCACATGGGTCACCAAACACTGCCGTCAGAGGGCAGGTCAGATTACCACATGGGTTACCTCACGGGTCATGAAACACTGCCGACAGGGGCAGCTCGGTCACTGCTCGGGTTACCGTTGGGACAACTGGATTATGAGCTCTCCGGACAAATATTTCGGAAAACGTCTGAACTCGACAGCACTCAGGTAGTCAATCAAAGAGTCTTGCTATGATCCGCCCCCATGTAAACTGGGATGGACTCAGCCCCGGCGATTTACAAGGGTGCCTGCCCAGACAAATGTCTGCCCCTAATTACTGTCATCCTTCCGGCTCTGAAATGATCTCGTCAGACCAAAAGGGCCTACCCCCCTCCCCCCCCAAGTGTCAACGCCACCAGAGCTGACCTGTAACACCATCCACCGCCAACGCTCCCAGGACCGGTGAGCAGTGAAACTGGTGTGACCCCATCGTCTGTATACCCCATACCTGGCCTGGCCGGCCTGCCCGCCTGTGTGCCTCAGAAACCTGATCTTTAGTCCCATCCTTGTGCACGCTTCTAAGAACCGATGACCTTGCTTGGGCCTTAAGCGTACCCCAGACCTAACCTGTGCTGACGCCCCTGCACCCCTCCCCAGGACCGGTGCGGCCAGTGCGGCGGCAGCGGACAGCGGCTGGGTGACGTCTGCAGCCGCTGCGGCGGCGTCGGCACCAACAAGTGCACCTGGTGCGTCGGCAACGGCATGGTCACCTGCACCACCTGCAAGGGCAAGCGCAACCTCAAGTACTTCGTCGAGATGACCGTCACCTGGTGAGCGCGCGCACACTCACCGCGAAAGAGAAAGAAAGAAAGGAAAGAGAAGAAAAGAAGGAGAAAGGAGAGAAAGAAAGAGAAAGGCAAAGATAAGGGATAGAAGACGCTGGACAATTGATCTGCGGTCCGGAACTGGCGGTGTTCTGTGGCGAACGAAGACGTGTAGGTGGGTTAGGTACGGTAACCAGTCAATGTAGCAACAAACTGTGAAAAAAGTTCACTTACGGACGTGTTCACGAAACAAAGTACAATCTCCCCTCCCCTCACTCCCCCCCCCCGTCCCACCCCCAGGAAGGTGCACGCCGACCGGTACGTGGTGGAGACTCCGGCCGGCCTGCCCGACTCGGAGGTCACAGCCGTCAGTGGGGAGACCGTCTGCCAGGCCAAGGCGCACCTGGTCTGGCCACTGACCGGCTTCCCCGACAGCCGGATCGTGACGGCCTCCGAGCACCTGGTCAGAAAACACCACACCGGGTGGCCGATGGGACGCATTCTGCAACAGGTATGGTACGGGGACATTCTCTGACAGGTATGGTGGGGGGACATTCTGTGACGGGTATGGTGGGGGGACATTCTCTGACGGGTATGGTGGGGGGACATTCTCTGACGGGTATGGTGGGGGGACATTCTCTGACGGGTATGGTGGGGGGACATTCTCTGACGGGTATGGTGGGGGGACATTCTCTGACGGGTATGGTGGGGGGACATTCTCTGACGGGTATGGTGGGGGGACATTCTCTGACGGGTATGGTGGGGGGACATTCTCTGACGGGTATGGTGGGGGGACATTCTCTGACGGGTATGGTGGGGGACATTCTCTGACAGGTATGGTGGAGGTTTAGTGTGACAGGTATGGTGGGGGGACATTCTCTGACAGGTATGGTGGAGGTAGAGTGTGACAGGTATGGTGGAAACATTCTGTGACAGGTATGGTGGGGGACATTCTCTGACAGGTATAGTAGAGACACACTGTGACAGGCTTGCACGGTATGGGACATTTTGCAGCAGGCATGATTTTGGCAGGCATATACGGTACAGAAAATTCACGACATAAGAGAGGACATATGACCGCTTTCTGGTGCGTGTGTTTCTCCTATTGAAAACTATCTAAAATTGTCTTCCCTCTTCCTTAGCGCCACGACGTGCAACAGATCGCGATACACAGCGTCTCCTACAACTACGGCGGCAACGAGGGCACCTTCTTCGTCTGCGGCCACGAGCGGAACGTCCACTTTCCCGACTACCCGTCTCAGTGCTGCGGCTGCTGCGCAGTCATGTGATGACGTCACGATGTGGGGATGACGTCATGTGATGTTGAGATGAGGTTATGTGATATGGGAATAGCGTCGTGACGGTATTCTCATTGCGTCATTGACACTACGGTAAATGAAGGTTTGTGACCACAGGCCAGACGGCAGAGCTTTTTGTACATTTTGAGCGCTTTGTTTGCTTATCAGCTGTATTCCACGCATTCGTGTACTGTGATGTACACGTGGTGTTAACTTTTTATTTTTTTGCAGCTTGGATAGTCTCCTTTTATAGGCGATTGTGCACACATATACGGTGTAGTGATCATGCAGGGTTCATATTCCAGCAGCTGCGTTCAGTGCCTTGAATGACTCGGGGAAGCTTCAAGGTAAACAATTAGCAGGACCAGTTTTCGTAAAAACAAACTTTTCTTTCCTCGAAGCGTGTTTTTCTGTACTGCTATCCAGTATAAGCAGACAATCTCAGTCTTATCGACCATCCCCACACGCTTGATATGCATCTTTTCCACATGTCACTGATGACATAAAATTCGCATCAGCATTTCAAATCAAGCAAAAAAGGAGGATGAAACGCATGGATGATATTTTATAAGCACATTTAATTGACCAAGTATCTTATGAATTTTTCAATCGGCAGTTTCATGGTATAGCCCATTGCGATTAACACTTGTATTGATTTATGACGACACACATAGGTACTTACCAAAAATTTGGCGCAAGACACCAATTTATAAAATCCTGAGAAAAATTTGATATCAAAACATGTGATGTCGAAATAGCATCACCAATATGGACTAAAAGTACGTTACTCGAGCGATAAAAGCTAAAAAATCATGCATGGCTCGAGATTATACAAGCAGATCTACTATTGTATCGACACCTTTTTTTTTTAAACCCCACATCTGCTCTCCCGTGAATTTCCGGGAGGCACGAAAGATCTCCTTTTAAAAGTGTCCAATCGTCCGATCCTGATCAAATATGTGTGTTCGTAGGCCTGTTCTGGTATTGCTTTATCTGCCAAGACAGACAAACTTGAGAAAAATCGAGTGATTGTACCTTTTTTTAAGGTCTCTAAACCAACTTGTCTGAAATTCACCGGAGAACAAATGTGGGGTTGAAAAAAAGGTGTCGATATGAGGCTTGACATGCTCCTAAATTTGATAGCACGTCGGACTTGAGCCGAAAACGGCGTCCGGATGTAAAATATTACGTACATCACTACACACTCGGCAGATCACAGGAGATTTTACGATCCACGGCAGATAGGCATAATCGTCATTTAGTGAAAATATTACGCAGAAGCCCTGTAGTCCCTGCAAAACCTGATAAGATGTTACATGTTACGTTCCAGATAACATGAAAAATATTGTGCAACCATTATCAATAAACATGCACAGATAAAATAACATGATTGATTGCGTATTAAGCTCGCATCGGTCCCAACCACGGCCCCAGTAAGCGTATTAACATATGGATACCGTAAAATGCTTCATCATTTAATATTACGCTCCATGACATCGTTATGTCGTTCACGAACTACACGTATATCGTTATCAGATTCGTTGACCCAGCCCGTCGTTCCTCCCCGCTTCACTGACCTACGCCGCGTCCTCCTGTTCCTCCCCCGCCTCCCGCAGCGCCTGTCTCAGGTCCTCCACCACGTCCAGCACGTCCTGTTCGCTGGTAGCCCGGCCCAGACTGAGCCGCACCGTTCTCCGGGCGTCCTTTGGAGAGACGCCACTCCGGAGCAGCACCCCGCTGAGACCGCCGACACCCCGCGCCCCGTCCGGCGCCCCGCAGAGGCCGGGCGCCGCCGAGACGCCCTCATCTCCCACATCACCTGATGTCTCCGGTGTTTCCGTACGTGGTTCTCTCGCCCCAGTCACCACTGTAGTAGCTGTATCACGGTCTCCGGCCGGCGCCGCGGGCGTCTCGTGGCAGGCGGAACCCACGCTGGCCAGCAGGCGCCGGCACCGGAGCAGAACCTCCCTGCCAGAGCGGCGGCTCGAGAGGACCGCGCTGCACGTGTTGGGCAGTCGGGGCGAGTCGCGCAGGTTGATACTCTCGGCCACGCCAGTCTCCTGTTGCGGGGAGCGTAGAGTTAGATCAAGTCTCACGGTTGTTGGGAGTGAGAGGGACACGTCGAACAAACGCATGACAATCGAGAGACAGTCGCGAGTAAGATAGCCTGCTGATCTCGACATTCAGTTCAGCAATACTCTGCCCTGCTGTGCGATACTACATAGCAAGGGCACCCGATTCATTATAGTTGTTTGGACGACACTGTTCAGTTAAATAACAAAACGTCATTATTCAAGGCCCTAACACAGCTCTCATTCTACATTATAAATCGCGCGATAACGTTTGTTCGAAGGCGCTCCAAACGCACCGTTACGCTTTACTTCCAGCCCCCGACTGACCAGAAGCCGCCGCTCCAGCAGATCTCTGAGTCGCTCCATGTGCTGTCGGTCCCTCTCCAGACCCTGCTGCACCAGCCGACAGGCGGTGCCCAGTCCGCGCACCAGCGGGGTGATCTCCGTTCCCGGCCGCACACCGCCCTCCTGACCGCCGCCGCGCAGCAGCGTGATACACGCACTACCGTCCGCGCCGCGCGTCAGACCCAGGGCAGAGGCCCACAGCGCGGCGATACGCGGTCCGTACAGCTGCCGGAGGGCGGCGGCGAGTCAGACTTCGGGGCGGAGGGCTAGCAGAGAATGGAAGCGGTTGAGTAAAGCACCCCAACAAAACATTCGTTATTAACCTTGGCAAACCAGATAAGCAAGCCGCAAAGTGCAAACTGATGCGCATAAAAACAGCATCAGTAACATTTGTTTCGTCAAACATTAATCATTTACGCCGTTTCTCTATCATTGCTAAACATCTGTCCTGCTTGACAACACGAACAAGAACCACGCACGCGGGTAGCTACTGTCACTGCAGCCTCCCCTACCTTATGGCCGACGACAGTGAGGAAATCGACACCGAGCCGACCGACGTCCACGGACAGTTTGCCGACCGTCTGAGCCGAGTCCGTGTGGAGCCAGATGTGCTGGCGGTGCGGGGACTCGGACAGAGCGCTGGAGAGAATCGGAATAATAACAATAAAGAGTTAGGGTGGCGGCTCTGAGGGACAGCGATGCTGACAAGGAAAGCATAGCTTGAAGGGCAGCAGGTAACGATTAAGGAGCAGGTGACGTAGCATTCGATACCAAACTACCATTCACACATTCGCATACCATTAGAACCAATGTCAGATTATCAAAGATCCTCGATCTTCCGAGACCTAAGAGACCACCTAGCTCACCGTCCGATCGCCTCGATGTCGTTGACCACCCCAGTCTCATTGTTGGCGTGCATCACCGAGACGAGGCAGGTATCGGGGGAGAGAGCCGCGCGCAGTTCCGACACGCTCACCCGGCCCCCCGCGCGGCACGGCAGCCGGGTCACTGGAGAAACGAGAGGGGGATGTACAGAACATGACGTCTCACAAGCAGCATCAATAACCTATTCACAAAGCAAATACACAACGGGGTTCGGTACACAACGGACAAAAACGCACATCCATTCGGAAATCAGTGCTCAACACTTAAGCCCTGTGCACCGTAGCATATAGAGTAGCATGCATTGTTGGCAACATAGCTGCGACCGAAATATAAGACCGGATAGTCGACACGAACAAGTATTTGTCGACCGTTACGTGAAAAGTTCTATACAGGAGAAACAGGTTAGCCCAAAAAAATCGACACATCTAAGTAGCTACAGGAAAAACTTGGCTATACTTGTGGCGACCTGCTATTAGCGAAGTCTAAGACCCATCATTCCCGGCTGCAGTATAGCACACACCAGAGCAGACTGATCACTAACCCACCAGAGCAGAGTCGCCGCCGCTGCAGGTCGGCGACCGGCGCCTCTACGGCATCGTGCTCCGTGTCAGAGATGATGAGGTGCGGTGTGCCCCGGCGGCCGGTCGCCCGGTAAAACTCGAGAGAACCGCGGACCACCATATTGTTCGCCTGGAAACGGTACGAGGCAGGATGCAAATGCAGCTTTAACGAAAGAAAATTAACGGTGAAGACTGAAGAGCACTTAAGACTAGTCTAGACTGAATATAAGTGCAAAGGGATGTAACATCCCAACTTATTTGTGCCTTCCCTGGTTTATATGAAAGTAAATGTCAAATTGGACCTACACGTACTGCGTACACCACCCTATCATTCTTCCACTAAAGCCACGCTGCACTTAACATGTAGGAGTTGCGTTCAAAAAGCAGTCAAACTGCGGGAACCCCGACCCACCTCAGTGCCCCCGGAGGTGAAGATAACGTGCTCTGGCTGGGCGCCAATGGCCGCAGCCACGTGACTGCGTGCCTCCTCCAGCACGCGGCGCGCGCTCCGGCCTGGTGGGTGGGTCGAGCTCGGGTTGGCCCAGTGCTGGTGCAGCGAGTCGGCGATGTCAGCCTCCACCTCGGCCGCCAGCGGAGTGGTGGCATTGTAGTCCATGTAGAGCGTAGGGTCTGGGTTGGTGTCACTCACCATGGTGTGTGGTGGTATGAGATCTGAGGAGGAGGTGGCTTGAGCAAGAATACTAAGAGAAAATGATAGGAAAAAAATCCTAAAAACAAAAATCTTCCTTCTGTAATGTTGATGAAACTTGTAAATTGAAGGTATCATGGGTTTTTAATTATGCTCACTGGTCCAATAGCAGTAGGCGGAACTGTGGCCAAGGGTGCCCGTTTTTGGGAATGCATTTTCGTTCCCATACCTAGTTGGGAATGAAAAACCTAAATATGGGAATGCTATGTAGGCATTATTTAAAACAAGAAGAAGAACCGTTAAATGACGTCCAAAAAATATAGAGCGATTGTGAACCGCCTGATATCCTACTTAATACCCAAATTGTGTGAGAAAACCTGTTTTCTTAGAAAACCAAACTTGAACTTCAAAAATCAAGTGGACGAAACAATCTCTTAGAAATAAATGCATGTAATTTTGAATGACAAATGATTAGGCTTCATGCTCAGAGATTTCGGGCAGAAACAAGACAGCTATGCACTGCTACACTTCAGCGTGCATTACGAAACCTTGCATGCAACACGCGCGCCCTAGCCCAAAACAACAACATCGCATGCAACACGCATTAACAAGATTACTTCTGTTTAGTATTATATCACTAGTGGCATGTTCCTTTCAAAGCCTGCCATTCATTGGCTAGTATTCTGAGGGGTGTTCACGGGCACCGCACACTGCTGCGTGCGGTGTGTGCGGTGCGTCCAGCAGGCGTGGGGGTAGGGGATGGGTAGGCGGCTCTGACGTCACGGCTGCGTGCGGTGGACGGTCCGCTGTGGCCAGTCCCGACCGGCCACAGCGATCGCTGTGTGCGGTGACGGAAGGCTGACGTAGGGACGCAGTGGGCGGAGCTTGGAGGCTGTGTGCGGTCCGACCGCACACAGGGCCCGTGAACAGCCCTCTGGTTGTTATAGAGATCGACGACCACAAGCGCTTCACTTCAGCCTTTTCTGTTATCGAACAGGTGTAGAAAGGAATCATATATGAATGAGTTGCGCAGCAATTGAATCAGGCACATTTAACTCGCAAGTGCTAATTTATAAATTTGTCTTCAAATGTTGAATAGCAAAGTTTACCAGCCTAATTTGGGATGTTACTGGCTCAACAACATATGCAGATGAAAAGTAAAAACGTCCTTTTAACTATTGCCTTTGACTCAATAATACATTGCGAGCCATGTAAGGACTCTGGTAAAAAAACATCGTGGACCGCGATGATGCCGGGGAGGCGCGTGCTATGAATCAATACGATGGTTGTTACGCCCGCCTCTTTTTCAGCCTCAGACATTTATGATTTAACCCCCTTATTCGTCTTCTGCGGTCAATTAGGCTCCTGTTCCGCTTTGACTTCAGAAGGCGAGCTCGAAAATATCCAACATGGTTCGAAGCGCGACGGGCGCCTGACGTTTATGGGCCTGGCCTGACAGGTATGGTCAGAGTATATAGGGTATGGTTGCGGTTGGTGCCTGGTGGCAGGCCGGGCAGGCCGTAACCAGACGAAGTCAGTGAGGGACCGGCCGTGCGTGGCTAACTTTGGGCTGAGTTCTGCCATAGAACGTCGGAATTGCGCGATCGGAGGGTAGAGGGCAGGGTCAACGCAACAAGGCACAAGCTTCGCTTAGCGGGGGCTCTGTCCTTGTGAAATGTGAATCCTTCCAATCAAAAGGTTCGGATTAGATTTGTAAAAAAGGATTTACCTCGGCTCTGGCTCTATCAGTGCAATCGCAAATCGTTGTGCATTGTCATGCCTCAGTATTTGTTCGATACAGGGTTGTCAAGATCTGCTGCCCCGACCGTGAGCCTGCATGTGTAGCGTGCCTCGAGTAGTCACAACAACGGGCGACGATGATTGTTTGCCTCGGAAGTACTGCGATCGCCGACCGCCAACCATCTCAAGTCGACCGACATCGCACAATCCTTTAGAGTTTAGCAGTTCGATATACAAATGGTACGATGACTTATTATTTATCACCATTTATTATTTATAGCCTAGCTGTTAATCGTTTACCTAAAACGTCTTCTAAGCTAATCTAATAATAAGCAGCATCATGTTTTCCTATGCTACAGCCAAGGTAATATACCGCCGCATAATAAATCGATTATGTTACTGGCCACCGGTCATTAGCCTTCGTTAGGAATTTGGCGATTAACTGCCGTGCTGCAATGCACGGCTCACATGACGAATCGGTGATCTACACTACAGCGGTCAATACAATTCTGCCATATTGCTACCCGGGCATTATATCTGACAAGTGATCTATATCTGTCTCAAAATATTGGCACATTGGATATCAATCGACAATCGATACGATTTAATAACGCGAAGTCCTACATCCAAGCATACCTACAACTAAAAACTTCTTACTCTTATCAAGTAACGGCTAGGAGCATGTTTTTTTCCATCTTTAGGGGTTTGAGGCTTGAGCCATTAGTTCGGGCCAGGAACAAAAAGTATTGAGTGGTTGTCCCCATCACCCTCGACGTGCTTAGCTTCACGTACCCACAGTTCTCGGTTGAGTTTTCCATTATCGGTAAAAACGGCTCCGTTTCATGCATAAGAATGCGTTAACATCGATGCATGATACTATTCAAGGCAACAGCATTGCCTTATATGGGTGTAAAAGTTTCTTATGTAAAGAAGCGCGCATCCAAAAACAATAACCACACAAACAAAACGTCCAATGATATTTATTCTTCCTTGCCAAACCCACGACCGGTTTAAAAATTACAGCGAGAATACATATTGCACAATGCACATTGCACACCCAGCATGTGGTTTATGTAGTCCCTACTATTTTATCTCACCTCTATTGGCAGTTGCAATGGATACCTACGTCCTATACAAGTCACTGGTAAGTAAACCCAGCCACAGCCGCCGTTTTGTTCACTCAACAATGTTACAATTATTTCACCCCGCCAGCCCTTTCACGTATGTACAGGTCTCACGGGTTTTAGCGGTAGGTTTTGCCCCTATTAATTTTAGTAAATGTCCGGCTATATCTTCTTCGTCTTACGCTTCTAAGGGTTGAATATGCGATCGATTTATTCGTGTACATGCCTGTTATGATCCTCTAAAATGGCTTCATCGTAGGTATATCGCTTAGTTTCCGATATATAGCCGGAAATGTAAAAAGGCAAAACCTACCGCTTAAACTCGTGAGAGCCGTATATTATGCTGGTCGGGCCATTCCGGACCGCTCGCATCCCGAGGATATCATCATCCTAGTCTATATTACCACAACTTACACCGTTAGGTATTAGATCCAACTCTTCATCACCATCAATTAAACTCATCTCTGTCATCTGATCTGACCAATAATGATCGCATCGATCCTCCATTGGTTTAGATAGGACTCCCGTTTTATTGTAAATGATCGGGACTGAATGTTTCGGGTCTTCTAGTTCTGATCATGGAATCGGTCTTCTTGGTTCGAAGACGACTCCCGGATTTAATCGGGTATTTCCGATCGAATCAGACTCCAAAGCTCCGGGGATGCTCAGTTGACCTCCTCAAGGGCCACGATGGTGTCGGCGTGCCGGTAGCTCTTTTGGCGCCTCTCCAGCTTCTCCGCGCAGGCGAACGGCTGAACCTGTGACTCCCACTTCCACAGAATCAGCAGACAGAGCAGCACCATCAGCACGATCGAGATGATGAAGAAGTAGCACCACTCCTGCAGCGTTCCCTGCGAAAAATGGAAATCAGAAGGGATATAAAGAGTTCATGGGACAAAGTAACGGTATGCATGAATGTAAACAAACCAAATAAAGAACCGTCCTTGTTCCGATTTCGTCAAATCATTTTGATAATGCAGACGCTCAGATATACGTATTGACTAACGAGAACGAGCAGTTTTGCTGTAGTGTGACAACACGGAGAGCGTATAATAAAGTTTCATGTTTAGTGATTGCGGCTTACGTTGGGCGTCATGGCCGTGGCGATGAGCGGAGACAGAAAGCCAGTGGTGTTTCCGAAGGAAGAGGCCAGCCCCCAGATCAGACCGATGTACTGGGGCGCAATGTCGGCAGCCCCCGACACAGGACCTGAGAAACAGTATTCATTAATTGTGAACAAGTAATTGGGTCTAAGTTTATCAATGAATAAATCTTATTTTAAATTGCCACACAAAATACATAAAATAAAACGATCAAGTGATGCCTAGTAACTACTTGAGGGAAAATACTTAGTGCACCATTTATGCATTAACCCTCTGTTTGCAAATTAATAAATATATAACAATTTATCAAACATTACCAAGAGCGTTTCCTCCCGTTCATTCCGCGGAGCATTTTCTCCCCGACGACAAGTGAAAAACCCACTGACCTCCCATTTGTTTGAGTCACTCATTGAACATGGTTTGGATGCCTCACCTGACCCTATGACGATGCTTGACATTCCCTGCGCCAGCGATATCAGAATGACCCCAAGAACTCGCTGAGACACGGGCAGGTTGATGACCACAGCCATACAGGCGGCAGGAATCAGCAGACCTGCCAGGATAAGGGACGTCAGACAATATACCTAACATTCATTTATCGAAAGCTATTATTAAAGCTTGAATAAAGGTAATTTACTAAGAACTTGAGAACAGGATAATATGAACTTGAGAGCGTAAAAGCAGTATTACCTGGGAACAACGCTTCACATTTTAATTAAGAACGCCACGCGTCGATTTAAAAGGGTGCGGCGGAGTGAGCTATACAGCTTTTTTTCGAGAGACATTTACGGGACACAAATTGCGTGATTCAGACACAGTATGTAAGTATCTATCTGTTCCCATGCTTAGCTATAGATATGTCAGCATGTAGCCTACATAATTCAGGTGACCAACCAGCTGCCGCTGAGATTTTTCTCGTGTTGGTGGTGCTGATCCCTTTCTCGACGTGCAGGTAGTGACACAAGTTCCCTCCGACTATCATCATTATGCACATGGCGATACTGGGCAAGGCTGAGACGAATCCGTTCTGAAAAAAAGTTACAGTTATAACACTTGCACTTATATTGTCCGATAAAAAATTGTACGGAGTACGGACTCATTTCGGGATAAACTCCTTATTACGGGAGCTTACATGCGACCACGCATATGTACATTACTACGTGACTTAGTTGCCAGTGTGTGTTTGCTTTTGCATTACGTTTGTTTTGTGTCCGAATTTCACCCACCTGTGATATGTCGAAGTCGAATCCCTCCTTCATGAACATGGGTAGTGTGATGTTCAGCGAGGCGAAGAACCAGCTGGTGACGAAGTAGCTGAGCATGATGATCCACACTTGGAGGTTGCTGAGCAAGGTCCACAGAGAAACGGGCTGTGTCTGTGAAAACGGTCCAAAATATGTAAACAAGATCACTCTACAAACATCCCAAGAGTCAGACTTTATTAATCAGTCGGAGAACGAGACATTAATTGGAGCGTAAACATTCACCCTCATAACGTAAAATCGAGCATTTTATCTACGAATATTAATTCATTTGCCTTTTGTTATAAAGTTATGCTAACCAACAAGATTAAGCAATAGCAAAAGTGAGTTTAAATATAAAAATGGCACCAGAAAAGGCAAATCACAAGCATTACATATTCTCTCTGATCGGCACCTTTGTGTTGTTGGTGGCCTGCATGTGCGGCTGGGAGGCCAGGTACTTTTTCTCGGCGTCTGACACGAACCGGTGGTCCTGGGGCGACTCGGTCAGAAACAGGCAGGCCAGCACCGTCCACAGGGCCACCACCAGAGCTGAAACCGTCGACAACGCCGCCTTACCGAATAAAGTACAACCGTGAGTAAATGCTGCAATAAGTCGGAGTTTTCCCTCCAATTTGTCGGAAAACTCCTAATTATATTCCATATTTCCGTCATTGATCCACATGAGTGCTATTTTCGCGTCCATGGCCATAACTACTGAAATTCATCGGCAACGGCATCATTGGAGGCCTAGGAAATAAAAAAAACTCGTACATTGCAGAGCTTGAACTGGTACTAATTACTTATTCTTATATCAATACCTCCGAAGTCCAAAACTTATCGGTCATTCAGTACAACCGCCCTTGACCCTTGACCGTTGACCCTTGACCAATACGCGACTCTCCCTCTCTCTCTGACTCTCTCTCTCTCTCTCTCTCTCTCTCTCTCTCTCTCTCTCTCTCTCTCTCTCTCTCTCTCTCTCTCTCTCTCTCTCTCTCTCTCTCTCTCACACACACACACACCTGAGAAGTAGAAGGCGGTGGGCCAGCCGCCGTCCCACTGAAGCTGACACAGGCGACTGCTGACCAGGAAGGCGCTGGCGCTGCCCAGGTAGCCGCCGCTCCAGGCGATGGAGAAGAGCAGCGTCCACTCGCCGCTGGCAGACCAGTTGCGCAGGATCACGTTGAAGCTCGGGTAGTAGGCCGACTGAAGGGAGACGGTGCGCCGTACGGCGGTTAGGTATTCACTTCACTGTCGCCATAGAAAAGGTGAGCTTGACATGCTTCAAAAGAGGTAGGTATTTTTATGACAGCTTGAAATCAAACGGTGCAGCACGATACTTTTGATTATTTGTCAAACGTGAGTATGCTTCTAAATTAAACGGTTATTCATAATGAATCGCATGCCTAAAATAAGCTAAACAAATGCCCGACGCTAGCGTTATATATGCATGACCTATATCATACAGTTATGTTCAGGGGATGGGTGTTGTGACTGACCGCTGCGATGCCCTGCAGGACTCGGAGGACGATTATGGCCCAGGAGTAGGCCCGGGTGGCCTCAGGGATGAGCAGCATCGGCACACACTGCAGCACGGCGCTGCAGATGGCCACCTTGTGACTGGGGAACCTGGCCACAAACATGTTATGCCGTCAGTGGTGCGTGAAGAGGCTTCGATGACGTAAAGCTCATACAGGCTAGCACAAAGTCAGACGCAAGCATATACAACTTGCTCATTGTGTAAGACAGCTTGCAAGCCTAAGTAAAGACGTTGGTCGGCATTCTTAGTCACGAAAATGGTTCTGATTTCGAAGAAAAACGTTACCTGTCGGCCACCCAGCCGCCGATGACCAGCGCGGCGACGTAGCCGTAGAAATAGGCCGACAGAACCACTCCCTGGTACTGCTTACTCCAGGCAAACTCACCCTGCCGACAACGGACGAGGGTCCTTTGAAACGGCCGCCGTTGGGTACAGGCAGCCTCGTTTAATCCGTAAACCATGAAACCATTTTCCCGTGATAAAGATAACTTGATTGTTTGCTTTTAAAATAAATGTCTGAATCAAATGCATCATTAAATATCGGAATGTGTGTCTCAAAATTGTCCGATATGGCAGGCCAACTAATCCATTATCCAATTCCAATTAAACATTCGGCCTAAATTCATTTTACAAAAAAAGCTGGAACACGTCACACATGATGATAAGTTATGACTGTCCAGACCCAATCTTGCCGGTTGCCGGTTGCCGCATCTCCATTCTCCACACCCCTTCCTTACCGTGACCTCCCCTCCGTCCACGGGGCTGGTGGCGTTGTCGGCACCCTCCTCTCGCACCATACAGAGCACGGCGAAGCTGGTGACGACCCTGCCGAGCATGGAGGCGGTGCCTCCCAGCAGACAGAGCAGCGTCACCGCCATCCGCCATGAGAACAGGATGCCGACTGCCGGGGGAAACGCGCGGATGTTGTTCGACAACTGCCCTGTGTTCAAGCGCGGTGCATAAGAGGAAAATGGCACTGTCTTGTGTGATGTATCGCAATAATTACTAGTATTTCATTCCTCCACCTGTTGATCAGCTTTTGCTGAATATGATAGAGTTAAGCGGTGCTGAAACAAAATAATTAGTGCTGCTGCAGCTTCATGTACCGGGAGTTCCCGAAAAAGAAAACAGACGGATTTAAATTTCGCCTGTAACCTATCTGGTACCGTCTGCAACGACACGTTTTCGTAAGGCTACCAAAGCGGTCCAATGCAAAAAACGTAGTTACCTCGCGTTAGTAAGGTATCTCGTTACAGGTAGCTATTTCCTGACTAAATGACACAATTGTGATTTCAGAGGTCGGAAAGAATCATGCGATAAGTGACTCAATAGCCCGTTCGTATGAATGTAACTGTAAGCAGTTATGGGCGATTGATGGGGTCACAACTCACAATGCTAATAAATATTTATTCCACTACCGATATCTTCTGCAAAAAGAGGGTTCTGCTAGATTCAAACTCTATGCACCTCTGAGTTTGTTCATACCTAAGCATCTGATCGGAATTAGGTCGTTCATCGTTTTTTTTTTATAACAGCTGCCGTCTAACTATTTACAATAGTTATCGCCATGTATGCCCGTTTCTCGGTCAGTGCCCCGTGGACCGGGACCCCAACTACCTACTCTACGGACCCAGAAACGAGCGTACCCGCGAGTTCCTTTGAAGGGAGAACGGTAGCGAGATAAAATTAGATCACCAAAGTCCAGTTCCCCACAAATATCTGCCGAATACATAAATGATAAAATGCTTTAGGTACAAAACAATATCAGGAAACTGGAAAGGTGACAGTCTATGAAAAAAAAGAGATACACTTTCAAAAATACTTGTTTCTTCAAAAAGTTTGCATATTTTGCTTATTGCGTTCTATCTTTTATTCTACCTTTTTATCGCTCGTTTTTAGTTATATTCTTTAAAAGTCGACATGTCGACTTCTGAGGGCCAGCGGCTGACAGTGCACCGTCCCGCCGCGTGTCCCACTCACAGCGAGGGGTGTGATTGGCGTCCTCGGCGGCCGACTGGCCGGTCTCCGGGTGGGGCGACTTCTCGGAGGTCATCCTGAGCTCGCTGACCTCTGCAGAGCCGGGTCACCACTGGGACCGCCGACGCACGGGACACAGTCGGCCTCGGACGCCGCCGGCGGGCTTTATACACCGCCGGACGTCCCGGCGGACAGAGCGGTCGGCGGCGCGACCGGCGGCCGTATGCCCCGGCATGGCGGAACGGCGGCGACCACAGGGCTCAATATTGATGCTGCTTTTACGTCGCCTCACAAAACTGCTGACTTGTTGCGGATGCATAAGGGAGGTGTGACTTGACATGGAGGGTGAGACTGTGCGTCAAACGGTATCTAGAACTGGATGCGTCCGGGTGATCACGACCCGAAAACAATGCCTTGATGCGGAGGTGCGGCCGTTAAATCGTTATAGTGACTCAGCTTTATTACAATTAGTTCTGGCAACACCACCTCAAGAATAAATGAGCGGCGAGAGGAATACGAAATTGACCCAGTTGGTAAAATGAAGACGAAGGCATACAAGCAAAAACAAATACAGGTAGAGGTACCTAAGCATTTCAACCCAAAACCTAACAGCCCTTTCTGCTACACTATACGGAGAGGTCATTCACTCATTCAAGTTTATCCTACCGCGCTTGCAGTTTGGGCTACGTTTTTCTGGCGTCCCTCGCCGTGTGCCGTCACCGCCGACAGTCGCGGGCATGCCACAGCTCGGCGAAAATAGACGCCCTCGAGGCATTTGGCGCAGCCGCACTCAGCACTGTGCCAATTGAATTGCGTGCAGGGAGTCAGGGACCGAGTCGCCTTATGTGGATATTTGGCGTGCGATGCATGTATCAAGACGGAGTCACTTTGACTTCAGACAATTGGCCGAGAGTCACTCGATGGACCGTTTATTTCTTTTTGTTTTTGTTTTGTTGGGTTAGGCCCTTTCGGTCCAATTGGACCATTTCAGAGCCGGGAGGATGATAGGATATAGGGGGAGACATTGGTCTGGGCAGGCACCCTAGTGAGTCACCGGGGCTGAGCCCGTCCAGAGGACAGGCCATCCAGCCCCAAAGTACCTACTCACTGCACCCGGCTATGGGGTGCGCTCCAGGGCATATTTTAACACACTGACTGCGTCCCATTTTGGGACGCAGCCCCCTGCCTTTGGGACGTAGCCCTCGCGAAATTTGGACCACTGCGTCCCACACTGAAATGCCATGGTTTCAGCCGAAAACCACGAGCAATAATAAGTCACATGCCTCGGTCTTTTAATGTGTAACAGATGTTGCCTTTCCAATTGCTTTGTGCCCTGATTTACTATGTGCCTAAGCACATACATGCCCTCTCCAGTCCTTTTTGCCCTGGCCCTATTCTAAGGTCGTTCACCTTGTTATATCCTTCCCTACTCTACATATGCCCCTAGGGTATGTGCCCTGTCCAGTGTCCTGTCCGTAGGTCTTGTACCTTGTCCTGCCCTTCCTTCATGCCCTGCGCCCTGCTCTGCATTCAGGTCCTGTGCCCCGCCCTGTCCTGCCCTCAAACCCGATACCTTATATGATACCCGATACCCGATACCAGCGCCTTGCCTTGCCTTTGGACCCTGCATCCTACCCAGTCCTCAAGCGCCTAATGTGTCTTGTCTTATCCTCATGGCCAATGCCTGCCCTGTCCTTAGGGCTCAGACTCTGTGCCCTGCCCTTCCCTGAGGTTCTGTTTAGAGATGTCAAGGTCGAGACCGCAGGCCCGGCGCCGGGCCCAAAATCGGGCCCGGCAGGGCTTTTCCATGGCCTGAACGCGATGCTGCCGGGCTCATGCCGGGCATGCAGAATGAACAGCGTAATGCTGAAAGGATGTACCGCCGGGCTTGATGCTGGGCTCAAGTATACTTGCACTCAGCACTCATAACTATATGAGTGCTGGGCTTGATGCTGGGCCCAACCAAACTTGGTGCGGTGCCGGTCCGGTGCTCGTCCCGGATTTCGGGGAAATTTTGACACCTCTAGTCCTGTTCCTTGCCCTGCCCTCAGATCCAGAAGGTACTTATATTGATAAAAAATAAAAACATACCTAAGACTTCAGCTAAAACTGGAGAAGAGTAAGAACTAAGACTATCCCTGAACCTGGGCGGTTCAGGGATAGAACCTGGGCGGAACCGACAGAGGCGAGGCGGGTAATCACAAGCAATATAAGTGGCAGCTTTAATCCCCTCCGCTCCCCCTCCCCTGTGGCACCGCCCGCCGACCATTCACAGTCGCATTCACATTCGGTGCGTCCTTTGCGGAAAAAGAATGCGTCACGACTGGGCGAATTTCGAGACTGGCCAAAAGCAATCACAGCCCGCTCCCAATATCCCGCTTGCTGCCCCTCCACCAGCACAGTACACAATGACCCAGACTTGTGACAGCTCAAGAAAAAAGTGAGCTCGCTCAGCTCAACTCCGTTTTATCCGCTCCCGCTCAGCTCCCGCTCAGTTTAACACGGCTCAGCTCAGCTCACGCTCCGCTCAAACCGGCTGTGCTCCGCTCACGCTCAGCTCAGCTCAGCTCAGTTTCCGCTCAGCTCAGCTCAGCTCAGTTTCCGCTCAGCTCAGCTCAGCTCAGTTTCCGCTCAGCTCAGCTCAGCTCAGCTTCCGCTCAGCTCAGCTCAGCTCAGTTTCCGCTCAGCTCAGCTCAGCTCAGTTTCCGCTCAGCTCAGTTTCCGCTCAGCTCAGCTCAGTTTCCGCTCAGCTCAGCTCAGTTTCCGCTCAGCTCAGCTCAGCTCAGTTCCCGTTCAGCTCAGCTCAGTTTCCGCTCAATTCAGCTTAGCTCAGTTTCCGCTCAGTTAAATTCACGCTTAGATCGCTCAGTCGTTCTTTTTAAATCGGACATGCTTAACCCTCGCCCGTATAGGGGGGGGGTCGAACGGACCCCCCTGTTTTTCGCGAATAACTCGCGTAAAAAGCGGCCGATCGCGACGAAACTTTCAGTACCCTCGCGATAATCAATTTTACACCTATCCTGAAAATTTCATGACCCTGACCCTAATGACCTTTGACATGTGACCTACTTTTCGAGACCATGTTTGGCCGGAATCGCGATTCGGCGTATGTCGGCTCGCATTAGCCGCGCGTTAGCAGTCTTTTTGTGGTTTCAAGTGTTCAAACATGGCATATGATGTTGCTCCCATGCATTAGGGTGGGTGTCAAGGTCACCGGAAGGTCAGGTCAGGTCATTGACCTTTGATGACCTCGGTTCACTTTTTCGAGTTTTACATGTTTCTAGGCTAGCTTTTGGAGCTGAATTCGAATTTAGCAACCATTTGAACATTTACGAAGCAGTTTTGGTGCCTTCGTAACATGTTACGAAGCTGTCAGAGGCTACTACGAATACCCGGCAAAATCCTTACTGGTTGACCTGACCTGACCCGACCTGGCCTCAATGCATAAAGACATCATCAGTGATCATAACTAACATGATATTCGTGATCAGCACCCCGAAAAACCCCATAGCAGCCACGTTTTACGACGTTCTAACAGGTCCCGATTTTCCCGACTTTTGGGTCATTGACCTGACCTGGAAGGTCAACCGATAACCTAGGACCTTAAAATTGGGTATCATCGGCTTCCTCTCGTCGCGGGCAGCACGCTCGTTTTTTCCGCGAAGCTCTAGCTCGATCAGGGACGAAACGGCAAGGGGGGGTCCAACGGACCCCCGCCCCCTTATACGTTCGCGGCTGGAAAAACACCAATACGGGCGAGGGTTAAAAAACAGACCAACTCTTGGCGCATAAGTAAGTCTCCTCTAATAAGGAGCGAGGCAACTTACACAATGGGCAAAAGAGATAAGCTCATTAAGACCTTGAGACTTTGCGAGTCGTGCGTCTACTTGGACTCAGACTATAGTTACATGAAATGGACTGTTCTTGGCAGTGTTATCACATGTTATCAGAGTGTGCACCCGCGATGTTAACATAACATATAAGTTCAAAATATACGAACGAAAAAAGTCCGGACGAAAAAGTTTACAGACGAAAAAAATGTACAGACAAAAAAATGCCAGACGAAGAAAAGTCGGACGAAAATCTGCTAGACGAAAAAAACGCCATGGAATCATCTCAACTAGGCGGTGTTTCACGGCCGAGAGCAGCACGCCCACGCCGCCATCCGCTCTTGGCACCCTGCCAGGAGCTGACGTTACATTTTGGGGTAGTGTTGGAACTTGGAGATAAGAGTTTGTTTATATCTCCATGGAAACCCCATTTGACACGTGTGATAGCAGCGTGCTGTTATCAGTGAAACCTTGAGTGAAACCAAACACCACCCTGATCTCAACCAAGGCAATGTCAACACAATTAGAATTCATAGTCGGCGTGTGAATAAGGGAGCTTTTCCCATATTATGGACATCAGAAGGTGAGAGTTCCAGTTAGCGCCTCTGCCCCACCCCACTTTCAATAGGATATGGTTGCTTAGCCCACATTCAACCAACGAAGAGGAACATTTGCTAATTCCTAATTGTAAATATTTTATGCAGAGGTAAGAACCCTTATCGATAAAATTAATTTAAATAACTGCTTAAATAACAAAGTGAAGAATGCTGAATTGTACATTGCGGAGCAGAGTGTCAAGGCGAAGCATCAAAGCCTGACAGTAGGTATTCATCTTGCAGTCAGACTTGAAACTTGAGACTGGCTGTATTAGCCTGTAAATTGGCCAAGACTCTGGTCTTCCAATTTCCATGCAACATGGATGAAATAAATTAGGCTTGATTAGTGATTAATATTGATTTCTTTAGAGTTTTGATATTTTTAAGTGCGATCACGAAGGCAGTGTAATTGCTCACTCCATAGCTAGCTCATAGCTGAAGCATCAAATCCTGAGTTAATTTCCAAGCATGAACTGAAAAGAATTAGAACTGGATCAGCTCAGCTCAGCTAAATCAGCTCAGCTCAATCAGCTCAGCTCAGCTCAGCTCAGCTCAGCTCAGCTCAATCAGCTCAGCTCAGCTCAGCTCAATCAGCTCAGCTCAGCTCAATCAGCTCAGCTCAGCTCAATCAGCTCAGCTCAGCTCAGCTCAGCTCAGCTCAGCTCGCTCAGCTCAATCAGCTCAGCTCGCTCAGCTCAGCTCAGCTCAGCTCAGCTCAAGCTCATTCAGCTCAGCTCAGACAGCAGCTCAGCTCAATGCATTACTGAGCCGGCTCAGCTCACAGCTCAACAATTTGGCAAAATGTTGAGCCGGCTCATGAGCTGAGCTGATTTTTGAGCCGGCTCAACTGAGCTGATCACAAGTCTGCAATGACCACATGTATCCGTAGAATGTACATTATCTCAATTGCATTATATACTATTTCGCTTGCGATGTGCCCTTTCCGATCGAAGCATGTGCCCTACGCCATCTTTGGGACGCAGTAAAAAATCCTTAAAATATGCCCTGGTGCGCTCCCTCGGGACTCGGGAGCAGCGGTGCCGCTCCAATGGAGCAGCCCGCATGAGATAAAGTTGCCTGGATCCAGTCCGGATTGGGGTTGCGGCGTGGAGGAGAAGGATTTCAGTATCCTGAGGATAGAAGCACGGAACGGTGTGGACCGTTTACTGTTTCTGGCTTTGATGTACGCGCCAAACAGTGACATCCAATTTCTCTCGATTCATCAGGATTGCGCAACATTTGTCGCTTAGCATGAGCTGCGGCTCTGTCAAGTTACCTAAAATATACTGCCTTGGATAATACTGACTAGCCAAGGGATGGAAATAATCTTGGACTTTTGAACTTTTGGCTTAATAGCCTTGATAACGCCCAAATACTGCCCCCATTGACCGAACAATTCATTCATAAAAACTTCGTGATTACATAAAACTTTCATATGGTAGCTATATATGGCAGCAAATAAAGCAGAAGTTATGGGATACCGCCACCACACGCGAAACGTTTGCGCGTCGTTTTGTTTACGTTTACTCCCGTGACTCCACGTGGGAGGAGGGGGAGGGCCCACGTTATTAGTGACTCCGTTATCTCGTGAGTCGAGTTGAGAAGAGTATCGTATCGACCGAAGACGACTGTATTGTATCCATGGCCGTGTATAGTTATTATACCCATTGATTGTATATCTCATCATTATCATTGTCAAGAAGTAGGTACTTAGGTACCTATTTGCGGCAGTTTTCATTTGTGTTGCTTGAAACGTTATTGTCAACTCAGTCTCAAACTGTAATCGTTAAAATGAAAAAGGCCAAAGCTATAGCCTCAAACAGTGTGCGAGTCATGGGGAACTATTTGTCAAATAACGTGATGTTAATCCGTTGACAATTGGCATTCTTTTTTCAGAGGTCACTGAAGTCGCTCCTTGGTCCTTGACCTGGATCTGGAGGTTAATCATGTCAACTATAAATTGGTGAATTAGGTTATTTTCTCATTTCAATTTATGCTTTTCTGTGTTTGATATTGCTTTGTAATTCACTGAGCTTCTAGTCAAGCATTGGGGCATGGATATTTTGGCTTGTAATGTTTATAGCTGATTGTGTTCCAAATTTTTAGTTTGAATTATTTCTTCAGTACCTATGGCAATAACAAACTTGTTCTAACATTTGTAAACTCATTCTGTTTTCAGGCGGGCCCAGTTCCGTGACACCGGCCCATTCATTGGCACGGAGGAACTACGACAGTCGCATGTGTTCCGACTGCTGTCCGGCCAAGAGAAGTTTGATGATGAGCGTGATGCTGGAGATGGCGATCCTGTGGTCCCAGAAGCTGCCCAGGCTAACCCCATCTATGATGCCGAGATAGCGGCCCTCTGCCAGCAGTGGGAGCTCTCCCAGGCTGAGCGCCAGCAGAAGCAGAAGCACATTCAGGATCTCACTGAAAAGGTGAGGTACTATCACAGCTTCTCTGAGGGTACTCACTGCTTGATCATAGGCCTCACGGTCCATCTCAGTGTAAGGAATATAGTGTTCTTGTTAGACTTGGGTTAGAAAGGTATGCTCAATTGACTTTGACTGGCTGTAGTGTGCTCATTCAACCACATACCAATTTCCTGTCAGGAGTCTTGTTTCTAACCCTCACCTCATCTTGGAGATAGATGGTGGTAGTCCCTCTACACTTGACCCTCCCAGGTACGAGACAGACATCCTAAGATCGCATGAGACATCAGAATTCTAAATTACTGTGCCTGGGTGGGCCTCTCAGCCAACTTCACCATGATTGCCGATTGGGGCTCTTTGGCCTCACCAGGTTATCTTGGAAAGTAAGCAAGCTAGAAACAAGCAATAAATAGCCCACTCTAAGGTCTTTCATGATAATTCAGGTCAATTTTCGGTCAGGTAAGTAATCCCTTAGGTCAGTGGAGGTCACCAAATAAAAAATTATCACGAAATTTGGTTCCTGATTTTGACAACATTTTCACAAATCGGCGCATAAGCCGGGAATCATTAGAGCTGCCTACAGCGCCACGGAAAAGCGCATTCGATAGATCTTTCAAAAGTCTTTCTGAGTATTATAATTCTCAGAGTTCACCTAAGGCTTAGCTTTCAGAGTGCAAAAACATTATCAAAGTTAGAGGTTTTTGCGGAAAACGTTTTTCTGTAATCACTTTTGACACCAAGCTTATATTGCGTTGATTTTACCGGTATCGCGTTTCGCTCGTCGAAATGTGTCGAATGATCGATAAGCTGACCTGAAAAGGTCCGAATTTCAAAATATGACCTCAGGTCAAGGTCACAGAAAAGGTCATGTTGCATATCAGGATTTGTATAGTTGAGCTGAACGCAACCATGGTGTTTTCAGTGCTCTAGCAAGTTTCTATCTAAAGGTATTGTAAAAAAAAAACTCTTGGAGACTTCATGACCTGAGATGACCTCAGGAGCATAAACGGGGTCTCGGGTGCAATTTTCCGATTCAGCGTGTCATGCTCGCATGTGTCCCGATGTTTGAAGGTGTTTTTGTCCAATAGGAGAGCGTTTTAATTTTCTCGCATTCTCTCGCATTGACCACGCAATGGAGTTGTAGTGTTTGCATGTTGAGTTCATGGTGCTGCCAAATAAAGGTATTTCCCTATGTGGCAGCAATGGCACATTGGTGGCGCACACGTGACAATTGTAGTACGGTTTTGGCGCCAAGAGTTGACCTCTGGTGACCGGTGACCTGAGGTCAACAGACTGGTCTGGAGTGTGGCTGAAGAAGCATTGATACTGTTGCCATTTATCTGAAGAAGCATTGATACTGTTGCTATTTATCTTGTTATTAATACACCATGTAATTGTCAAGACTTGATTGTCTCAAGACACTACATAAATTGGCGACGAGGATGTCAAACTAACTCTGATAATTGAGCCAAGGAAGAAGACGGACTACAAGTAGACTGTAGAGTACAAGTGAGGCAAGTGGCTGCAGCTGTTATCGAGGAAGGGAGGTGCGGTAAGATGGACGGGATCCAACCACCACCTGCCTTACTGCCGGCGGCTGGTAAGCCAAAGGTACCCTGGTCTGGGTGGTATGCTGATTTCGAGGTGTATGCTCTTGCTATTGGGTGGTGTGAGTGGTCAGAAGAACGCCAGCAGGCCTTGCTGCTTCATTGTGTGGGTGCAGAAGCTCGTAGGCTGTACAGGACTAAGCTGCCAACAGGAGGACTTGTGAAGCAGCCCAAAGTTGAAGGTGAGAATGAATCACAGCACAGGTCACTGGCCATGCAGTCATGTAGCATTTTTGAGGAACTATTTGCAGCCAAAAATGACTATGTATATTACTGAGCGTGTGCAATTCAGAAGGTGCGTGCAGGACAGGAACACGACAGTCCAGACGTACCTAGCTAACCTTAGGGAGAAGAGTCAGCGATGTGGGTGGTGTCTACTTGCACTTAATGTTCTCAAAACGCAAGTTGTTGTGTTTGGTTCCAAAGTCACCATGAAAAATGTCAATGTTAGGAGTCTAAATATTTTTAACACTGCAGTACCCGTACAGCCATCACTAACTAGTCTAGGTGTAACGCTGGATAGTTGTCTTACGTGGAGCAGTCACATTGACGGTGTCATTCGAAAGTGCACTGGTATGCTAATTCGATTGGGCCAACTTCGTCGCGTGATGCCCTTAAAAGTAGTTGTCCTCCTAGTCAATGCCCTTGTTCTTCCTCATATTCGCTTTTGCATGGCTCTCTGGGGAAATTGTAATGTGACACAAGGGAAGAGAATAGGAAAAATAGTTAAATTTGCACAGCGTATCGCAGGTCGCGAAGCTCACAGACTGGCTTGGCGTGGAGATCTTGCCTTACAGCATAAAATCGCGGTATTAAAAACAGTTCGTCAATGTCTACTTATCCCTGAATGTATGCCGCCACTAATTGTGTCTCTCTTTAAAGAGAGACAGTCAGACCGACAAACAAGGCAATCAGGCAACCTTGACCTAGTTATACCTAGGACTGAAATGAAGAAAGCGTCCTTCTCTTACAGTGGCGCAAAACTATGGAATAGCTTGCCCATTCATGTCCGAAACTATTCGAAAGCTGATTTTGTGAAATATATTTTGGAAAATCACGCGGTAAAATGATGCATATGTATGTGGTGTTGTTCCGGTGATGTCACGTTGTTCGTTGTAATAATTGCCGGTTACTCATGAGGCTTCGCTGTCTCATCAAACTTCTTGTTATAGAAAATCGCTTTTGTTCTGCATTTTGATTTCGTTATACGTGCTTATGAATGACAGGGCACTGCGCTGCCTGTATTGTATGTATATTGTTTATGTGTGTCAATGTGTTTCCCTCTGTAATGCCCACCGAATGGTGGTTAGTGGGAATATGAAATAATAATAATAATAATAATATGTGGATTTGGGGAATTAGAAGATGAGATGATACGGGACCAGTTTCTTGAGGGATGTTCATCAAGTCGCCTGAGGGAGCGTCTTTGTTCAGAGCAGTGCCTAACCTTGACCCGTCTCGAGGAGATTGCAGCAGCAGCAGAAATCACTGCAGAGCGACATACCACAGTCTGTGGCGCCGTAGGGCCAGTTCAAGATGCATTTGAGGATGCCAGTCAAGAGGTGGCAGCGACATCCGGTAAGTTTGGCAAACCGAGATCCCCAGACAATGGCCGTCGGTCGAAGACTTGCTTTGCATGTGGCTTCAGTGGTCACAGGTCGGGCGATAGCCGATGCCCAGCCAGGGAGAGGGAATGCCACATTTGTCATGAAGTGGGTCACTTCGCCAGAGTATGCAGGGCCAGATCACAGAGACCGGACACCACGAGAGCCCCACCCGGAGTTTCGACTGTAGAAGTCTCATCAGTTCATGACTTGCTGAGCTTGTCTGGTCCAATGCTTGATGTGGATGTTGATGGCACTCTGCTGGAGATGATGGTAGACACTGGTTCGCCTGTTAGCCTCCTGCCTTTGCATCTGCACCAGGCGAGACTCCCTCAACTGCCACTGCATGCATGTGATGTTGCATTACGAGGATATGGGGGACACAGCCTTGACGTTGTTGGTGTAATCCGTGCCACAGTGACCAGTAACGGTAAGTCAGCTGACGCTGACTTGTATGTGATGAGAGGCGGTACTGTACCTTTGTTGGGGCGTGACTTACAGCTCAGTCTGTAGATCACAGTCAAGAACGGCAATGCTGTGTGTGCCGTGTCACCTGGGAGTCAACCGGAGCCAAGCCAGCCCGGTCTCCCTCCCCTTCGTGGGTTTGTTCACAGGGTAAAGGTGAGGGACGGTGTTTCCCCTGTCCAGCAGAAGATGCGGCCTCTGCCGTACTCAGTCAGGGAGGAAGTGAAGGCACACCTGGCAGACCTGGAGGCAAAGGGTGTCATCGAGAAGGTGGACTCGTCACCTTGGATATCTCCGATGGTGGTCACCAGGCGCCGCACCGGCGGAATCCGGGTATGTCTCGACCTGAAAAAGGTAAACCAAGCGGTCATGCCCAGCAAGTATCCGCTACCTGACATGATGGATATGCTCGATAAGCTTAAAGGGCTGCAGTGTTCTCGAGCTTGGATATGAAGTCTGCCTTCAATCAGCTTCCACTGCATGAAGAGTCCAGAAATTTGACGGCCTTTATGACACCTGATGGGCTGAGAAGGTACACCCGATGCTGTTTTGGTTTGTCCTCTATCCCGGCAGCTTTCCAGAAGGTGATGGACAACATCTTGGCTGGACTGTCGGGGGTCCAAGTATACGTCGATGACATCATCATCTTTGGTGAGAACCAGGACCAGCATGATGCTCGTCTTCAGCAAGTGTTGGCCAGGCTAAAGGAGTACCAGGTAACCTTGAACGAGGAGAAGTGCACCTTCAGCACCACATCTCTAGAGTTCCTGGGCTTCACTGTCACGAAGAACGGCTTCAAGGTGAGCGAGAACCGCGTCAAGGGTATGCGGGACATGAAGTCGCCCAGCACCGCTAAACAGCTACAGTCGGCCTTGGGACTGTTCGGCTTCTACGCCAGGTTTGTGAGCGACTTTTCCACACTGGTGGATCCACTTCGGGCCACCCTGAAAGCAGAGCGTTTCCAGTGGACGCAGGAGCTGGAGACTTGTTTCAGGGAAGTTATCTCCAAGATCATCAACAGCTCAGCGCTCACGATGTACGACCCAGATCGACCGACTGTCGTGACATCAGACGCTTCGGATGTAGGCCTCGGAGCAGTGCTGAGTCAGATCTACCCCGAAGGTGAGAGAGTTGTTTCTTTCGCATCAGCCACTCTATCAGACACCCAGAGGAAGTATAGCGTTACTGAGCGGGAGGCCCTTGCGGCCAAGTGGTCAGTTGAGCACTGGCATAAGTATCTTTTCGGAACCCACTTCACCTTGCGGACGGACCACCAAGCCCTACAGTCGCTCTTATCATCAAAGGGGATTGGTAGGGCAGGAATGAGGCT